TTTCGTTATTATTTTAAATGAAAAATGTTTTAATTAGTTTGATGTTTATATATTTCACCACATTAAAAGTATCTAGTTTAAAAATATATGAAGATTTCACATTTTAATGAAAATTTAGCCCAAAATTTCAATATTTAACCTAAATGAAATGTTCATATGAAAATTTCAGTGAAATTTTCATCCCTAAATATAAGCGACACGAAAGTCTTGCCCCGATTTATAGCAAAAATGTTTGAAAGCATTGTATTTCACACAAAATGTGTTGTGAATTACAGTTTACTTACAATAACTTATTGTCTGTTTTTTAGTAACTACAGTAAGTTATTATGTGTTGTTATTATTAATTGTATTATGATTTGAAATGAATATATTATGAAAATTATTTAAATAATCTAAATACACTTGTTAATTTTAATACTTATTATATTTAACTAGTTTAATTTAAATAAAACAAAATTATAGTGAGTTAACTAATAGTTAAGTTTAAATTATTAAAACTTTTATATTGAGAGTACATTTACGCGACTTATAGTCAGCAGTTATTTGTTATGAAACCAGAAATATTACTTTGAATTTTCTAAAATTTACAAATTATTTAATTATTTATTTAAATTTAACAGACACTACATGTTTTATATTAAACATTTCGATCACATATTTCTTTATAAAACGGAGCATAACTTAAATCCGATTCATTTGAATGAGTGATCATTTTATCGCATAAAAGTGTTAAACATTTCAAATCAAACAAAAGTCTCGTATATTTCTCTATTGATAACAATTCCGATTGATATCTCATTTTTAAATATCGTTTCAATAAATGGATGTAAAGATTGCGATTAAATCTGTAAAATTTAATCATGTTTAATTAACTATACTGTTATAATTATTAAGTTTTATGCACTCACGTAACCATTTGCTTATTGTTTAGTTTCGGTCGATTTGGGTTATAGAGAATAATTGCTGTTAGTTATCAATAAACATAAATATTATTAAATTAGTATTTATTTAACTAATAATAACTAATGACAACCAAATCAATAATCATTTGATCGGATTCCCAGTCGAGACCAATATTTTGTAGAAATTCTTGTTGATATTTAAACGCATCCATTGTATCCGTAATACTAATAAATTGCACGCCTTTTGCTAAATCCAATGGTATTATATGTGATCTGTTATTCTGATAGTAATACCATGTTATTAGTTAATTAGTTATAAAAATAATAGTACAACTACTGTATATCAAACTTACCTTAATTACAGACCAATAATTGTGATCATAATTAAAACACGAAACCATACGTAAGACTGAGATCTCAATCGCCGAGTGTTTAATCAAAACTATTTGATCGCTTAAACTGAGAAACTTAAAGGTATTCATTGTTTTACACGCTTTCACTATATCTTTGATTATGCTTTCATTGATTGTTGTCAACATTTCCAGCGCTTCTGCGGTATTATTAATAAAATAGTTGTCTTTGATTGTGGACTCATTGCCAGCAATGATCGGGTATTCAATAATCTTCAGCGCAGACAACAATTCAGTCAATCGATTGCTTTCTAATTCATTGAAAGTATTGTTGTAATCAGTGATCGGTCTCTTGATAGACATCATAGTATCCATCATTTCATAACTTTGTTTGCCATTAATTTCAGTGATATTTTCATATATTTTACTATTTAGTGATCTTTTTCTCATTGATATGTCTATTGTTTGAGTACTTGTTTTCAGCAGATCTCTGGACAGACCTATCTCTGGCTGCAAACAGACTTCAGGTCTACTTTTATCTAATGAATCATTAATTCGTTGTTTATATTTAACCATTTGTTGTTGTATTTCATTGTTAGTGCACTTAATATACTAAAACAAAATGCAATTAATTATTTACAATTGCGATAATTTAATAGTCATTTATAAATACGGCATTCATTCCGGCGGATAAACACTTGTCTAAACGACATTTTTTGCAAACAATCCGGTTGTGGACATTGATTAAACACATGCCTCCTAAATGACATTGGTAACTTTTCTGTATTCATAATTTATAAATACCTTATTAGTTTATAAAATATCGTTTATAATAAAAATAACACTAATTTTAATTTACCTTATTTTTACCAAGGGATCTTCTGAAAAATGACTTACATGACTCACAGCTTAAGACACCGAAATGGTTACCTACATCATGGTCATAATAAATTAATATTGAAAATAAACAATGAAGAATTCATAGAATTAAAATGCAAGAATTTACTCTATGTTTTTATAGTAACTTATGCTCACCACTTGCTTTACCACCACATATAAGACAATTCATATTTATGTAATCATTCAAAATACAAGACAATATGTTTCTATTAAGAACTTTTTATATTATATAAACAATAAAAAATAAAATAACATTCAGTAATATACAAATAATTAATATGTACTTGTGTCTGTATTATGAAGTTGTGATAATTTGTTGCCTGGGTAATTTATGATAACTACAAATGTTCAAATAATTGTATTGATTCTGTATGTACTTATGTGTTATACATAACTTTTACTATTTGCAACTTTTTTGACAAAGATAATACAAATGTATTTATTGTTTATTAGACAGTTTTAATTAGCTTTATTTACGTAACTTGCATTTAAATTGCAACTTTATATAATTACACAATTTAAAGTGTTAATTAAATTAATTAATAGATATACAGTAGTATAGAGACAAAAATATAAATAAAACAATTTACTAAAAATAGGTTTATGTTAAGAATTGGTTTATTTAAAAATATATAAATTGTTGTTATGTAAAATATAATTGCACAATCATTAGATGACTTTTTATCATGCTAAGGCACTGCTAAAAATATGCTTAAAAAACACTTGTGTCTAACATTGTTTGCATTCGTACAGAATGTTATCAAAAAATATTTATAACAAATCTTGATAATTTATCTAATTTATTAAGCATATGGTATATGTTATACATTTCTATCACATATTTCTTTATAAAACGGCACAAAACTTAAGTCCATTTTATTTGAATGAATTGATATTCTGTCGCATAAAAGTGTCAAATGTTTTAAATCAACCAAAAGTCTCGTGTATTTCTCTTTTGCCAATAATTCCGATCGATATCTCATTTTTAGATAACGTTTTAGTAAATGTATATAAACTTTGCGATTAAATCTGAAAAATAGTTTTATATATTATAGTTATCTTTTTAATAATATAGTTATATTTTGCAATAAAATACTGCATTTATTTTAATAACTCACTCAACAAATGGTTTATTAATTAGTTTCGGACGATTCGGGTTATAGAGGATAATCGCTGTCAGCTATCAATTAATAGCAATATATAAAAATAGTCATTATTTGTTGCATTTAAATATTATGTTTTAATAACAACCAAATCAATGATTAGTGCATCTGATTCCCAGTCGAGACCCAACTTTTGCAAAAAGGTTTGTTGACATTGAAATAAATCAATTGAATCCTTACGACTAATAAATGGCACATCTCTTAATAAATCCAATGGTATTGTGTGTAATTGATTATTCTGATAAAATTACAATGCTATTAGTTAACTATAATATAATTATATTATATAATAGTTCATATATAACTTACCATAATTATAGACCAAGAGTTGTGCTCAAAATTAAAACACGAGACCTCACGTAAGACTGCGATCTCGAGGGCCGAGTATTTTAGTAAAACTATTTGATCGCTTTGACACACATATTGAAAGGCGTTTAAAGTTTTGCATAATTTTACAGTGTCTTTAAATATATTTTCATTGATTTTATTCATTATATTCAACGCATCCATGCATTCATTTATAAGTATATTGCTATTAATTAATGATTTATTCTCAGCAATGATCGGGTATTCAATAATCTTAAGCGCAGACAATAATTCAGTCAATCGATTGCCTTCTAATTCATTGAAAATATTGTTATAATCACTGATTGGTCTTATAATAGGCGCGACAGACATCAGGGTATTATTTGGGCTAATTATACTGTCATCTAAATTGTTATTTTCTAACACATGTTGCGAAACATTATAATCAATGATATCGTGATTAAGACAATCGTGGGATGAATTGCTAGTATTATATGAAGCGCTTGAGTGGTCATCATATGTGGTGATTACTTGTCGGCTATCAGTCCTTTGTCTAACATTTTTGGCAATTGGTTTTGTGGTACCCTTTGGTTGGAAACATTGAAAGAGTTTCTAATGAAAGTTGTTTAAAAATAAACTCAATTATTAGCAATATTTATAAAACACATGTACAGTCAATACCGATTTCATTCCTGCGGCCAAACATTTGCTTAAACGACACTTTTTGCAACTCTTTCTTGTTTTGATATTTACATCACAATTACCGGCGAAGAAGCATATGATTAGATCCTGTAATTATATACTTATAATTAAACAATATTTACAATTAAAATATACAATTATAGATGATTTACTGAATTTTTCAACGCGTTTCTACGAAAAAACGATTTACACGATTCACAACTGATTGCACCAAAATGTTTGCCTAATTTAAAACAAATAATTAAATTAATTAAATATTTATAAATATGTTTTTAAAAACAGTGCCGACCGGTGGAGACATCCCCGCAAACCATACATTTGTGATTAGTTTTGTTGATTGACATAATTATAATTTCAAAATTAATTGTAAATGTTTCGCATAAATATTGAGCTAAAAGTTAAATGAAATACATTAATAAATTTGATAACTTATCATGTGCCATTTTTTTATTATCACAAAATGTAGCATTTATTGTAGAGTTAAAAAGTGCAATAACTGGTGTTTAGTGCAATTTATGCAATGGTTTATGAAATTAATGTAACTGTATAGAAAATCAATATATTTGTAAATTTTTGTTATAAAGTTCAGAAAATCACTTCAATTGCCCAAAATGCATTTTAATATAACTTTTAATAACTACTTTACACAGTATTATCACATTAAATGACACCGAGATCGCTACGCACGACCTAAAGTTAATATTTTAATTAAATAAATGAAAACTTTTATCTAAATATACTTACACATAAACTAATTTTTAACAAAATGATTATGTTTCATTTAAATTTATTTATTTTATACAGACATAAATATAAAAATTAAGATCTCTTACATAAAAAACAATTTATAACTAAAATTAATTTATCAAACAATTCAGACAATTATCTAAACAAAAAAGATATATAATATATCACAATAAATAACAGAAACACTCGGGTTGTGGCAAATCAATTGAGTGTCCATATAATCACTGGATTATTATTACTAGTGTTAGTATCGGTAATCACAGACTCCCGGTTGGCATACATGGGCTGCAATGTCGGTGACGGGGTATCACTGGTGTGTCTGTAGGCCTGCCACGAGTCGATGTTACGACAGGCGGCCATATTTGCTTCGCTTCGGTCTATGATTTCCCGAAACAACGGGAATGCGTCCAAATTGGGTCCCTTTTTCATCGCCGAGTTTATAGCGATTTTTGTGTGCAAAACATTCAATAGCCTTAAACTGTCGATCAGTCGTATGAGTTTGGCTTTGGCTAACATTTCTGACTTGAATTTCATGTTTAAATATCTATACAATAAGTGAATGTAAATGTTTTGTTGATACCTGTAAATAGTTTTCCAACAATATTAATGTTAATTATGTACTTAAATATAAAGAATATTCTGTCACATACTGAACACTTTCAATGTCGGTTAGTTTGGGTCGATTCGGGTTAAACAACACGATTGGCGTTAGCTATTAAATCAACATCAAATTTATTATTTATATAACATTTGCTATTTGTAAAAATAATGGTCACTTACAAAGTCAATGATGAGTGGGTCGGACTCCCAGTCAAGTCCCATATTCTCGACAAATGTACGATGTAATTGATAGCCACCACAATTATCCTCCACATTTTTAATAAACAGATCCAATTTAATGCAATGAGATCGATTATTCTGTTATAATAAATTACAATTAATAATTGTAATTAAAACAATATTAAATATATAACATTAGAAACATTACAAATGTATATTATAATGATTACATACCAACACTATATCCCAATATCCATCGCGAAAATTAAACACAGATATCATACGCAAGAGATTGATCTCAACCGACGAGTACTTAATTAACACCATTTGATCGTTTTCTGAAAGGCTGGCAAAACTGTGCAACGATTTGGACATTTGTATAACATGTTTGATATCGTTTTCCCATTTCGTTAGTATTATATTGAATGCGATTCCTATGTCTTCAATGAAAGACTTCTCCGGGAAATTGATGTGAATCTTAAAAGTCTTGATCCCATTTAACAGTTCACTCAAACGATTGCCTTCCACTTCGTTGAACGTGTTATCGTAATCATTGATAGGTAGCAGTGGTTTGTAATCTAGTTGTTGGTCACTCTCGTCCGAATTACTCGTGGTATTTGTGTCTGTGTTGTAGGCATTGATGTCTTCGGCAGTAGTGGTCGGTTGGGAACAGTCTATCGAAACGATTATCTTTCTATCCGTTGTATCAAATGATGAGTTGCTGTCCGACTGTACGGTAGCTTCCGGTGACTTATTGGCCAGCATTTGACGCCTTCGCCGATTCTCGGCCACAATATGTCTGCGGATTTCAATCCGTTTCTCAGAATAAATCAATTCCTGAAATAAATATTAAATATTTTCATTAATATTTAGTTTAAATTAAAAATGTTTAAAAATATATTTCATACACTTTTCATTCCGACGGACAAACACTTATCCAAACGACACCTTTTGCATTGTTTTCTGTTTGAGACCGTTATTAGACATTTGTCGCCAAAAATACAGTACAACTTATTCTAAACATACATAATAAATGTTTATAAGTTTTTAACTAGTTGTTTATTAGTTGATTCATTAACAGGTGTATTAATTTACCGCATTTTTGAGTGCATTTCTCCTAAAAAACGATTTACACGATTCACACGTCAATACCTCGAAGTGATATCCTATTTATTTAAATACATAGAAAGTTTTATATGAAAAATTTGTTTTCTAACTTTGTACATAATCTAGGGCCAAAAGTATTTTACCACAAGCGGTGTCTCCGCACACCAGACATATCCTATGTTTTTGTTGTACAGACATATCAGAGCTGTATATTGCGATACAATGAGGTGATCACTAATTTGATCCAAACTTATATACATAGCTCAGACTCTACAAGATATACTTTTGAAGGTTATTTATTGTAAAAAGTGTACATGTTTTGTCCAATCATGGCGAATTATTTGTACGCTATTGCATAACAACTGTACGTTGCACTAACACCGGGCATGTATATCATAGTAATAATCATCATGTACATAAAGAAATACTTATTAAAAAATAATAGTAAAAGTGTAATATGGGTGCTTATATTATTTGTGTTGTATACTGTAAGTAACTATGGTAATTTTAACGTGTATTTTAAAATGAACATTGTTAAAATGATGTATTAATTAAATTTTCATTGGGCTTTTTATCAATGAATGATTCAGTAGACGATATTTTACGCTATTTTACATTAATTGATCAATATGTACATTATGTCCGTTCTTGATATCAAGGTTATTAATTATAATTCTGTATAATTGAAAACATCAGGGTGCCATTTAGTAATCGGATGTAATATATTATTTTATCATTTTGTTATTATTTTTAATATTTATTGTGATAACAATCTCACGTAAACATTAATATGTTGTTTTCGTTGAAATAAAATAACTTGATAAATTATCAATATTTGTATTTACTAATTATTGGTATTTATTTTTATTTATACCTTTTACTCTAAAATAAATAGGTTAAAAGTTATAAATCAACGATTAGTTAATGAGTTAGTTAAATGTTTTTTATTTAGAACATAACATAATAATTATGAATATAAAATAAATATATCAATAATATTCTTGTTTAACTTTACAAACATTTTATACAAAAAACACAAAAATTCCGTTATAAGATACAATTCATCTTGTTACATTAATATAAATAAGTAATGTGCCTGGTTTATTTATAAAATAAATAGTTTTAAAATTGTCGAGGTGCATTATTTTGAATAAAATCAAGAATATCAATAATAAATGTGTTTACAATACACAGAACTGTCTGTCATTCATAAAGCCTTACATGTAGCTGAAAACTGTTGAACCTTTTATCAATATACTAATTAGGGTAACTATTGTACAGTATATTAGTACTGTTTTAGGTTGAGATAATTAATTCTATTAATCTTTGTAACATGGTGCCTTTCTTACATATACTTATCCACACTGTAGATGCCTTTGCAATTAACCAATGTAGCTTTTTATTATCATAAATAGCTCATGTCACATTGTATACCATTGTATTACACATTGTGTGACATTTTAGTAAAGTTACTATTATCAGTGTAACGAAAGTTACTAGTTTAAATATATTTTCAGACTATGACACTGTTCATTTGTATACAGTATACTATACTTGATTTCAAGTTATTTAAGTGGAGAATAAGATAAAACCTTGCACATATTTCTAAGAATTTAATAATAATTATTATTTATTACTCATGATTTCAATTGTATGCTTAAATTTACTGTTAAATTAGATAACACATCTATTGACTCTAGGTATTTCTATTATAAAGTATAGAAATAATTAATAAATTATTTTTCACATGAAATACAAGTGATTTTATTAATAACAATAATTAAAGTAAACATTTTTACTAATAGAAGTTGTTTAAAATAAAATCTAGAACATTTTTTATGTGAGAACCTATTATTCTGTATATAAAGCATAGAGAGGTAATGGTTTTGTGTATAAAATATGAGTGCTTATACTGTATAATTGTCAACCCAGTCTACATTGAACATTGCACAATATGTCTCATACTGTGTTATCATTAATTTTACATTAATCGACATTAATTAGTCGCACAGCAAGTAATGTTGATAAGAAAATATACGCAATAGTCATGTGTAACAAAGTCTGGGTTACAAATCCTGGACACAAAGTGAACAAACATATTATTCACTTTATTAATGATAAACATAAATTACTTTACAGTTATGTAACTTATATAGTGTTGTGCTTGATGTATTTACACATAAAGAATATAATTAATTAATTAATATTATCAATAATTTATTTAATTATTAAAAAATTAATTATTTTATTTTTTAAAAGTGAAGGTTATTTTAAATTAAAACAAAATTCATTTAAAAATCATAAAGTTTTACTTATAAACAACTTTGATAATAATAATAAAATAACAATTTACAACCTTTATCTAAAATATTATAAATCCTATTAGAATTAAATAGAAAAATTCATAAATGTAATAAACAGGGTATCCAGAGCACCATTTATTGCTCGCTTAGTCATAACTGCGAACAAATAACAGCGCTCTGGACACCCTGTATAGCAATTTTACCATAATATTATTGTATATGCTAAAATACTCGAGTAAACCCTTACAATTAATTATATAATTAAATCCCAAATAAACAATACTAAACAAACACATGTTAAGTCTATAACTTAACACATACTCGGCCAACTGAGCAGGGTCCACTATTAGTGACCCTGGTAAGCATCAGAAAATTTGCTGCAACGATTGCAATTCCCGGTGCGGACAATGGCGGTGAAATAGCGGACACGGCACCGGCATCTCGATCGATTGTATGGCCTGTAGTGGCGATTCACCTTGATGCAAATTGGCCACAATATCAATCTCACTTCTATCGCATATCTCTCTAAACAGTGGAAATCTTGGATTCAAACCGTTGAGTTTTTTAGTATGAGCATGGTAAGCGATCCTCGTGTTTAACACGTTCAGATACTTGAGGCTATCGATTAGTCTCAAGAGTTTAGCACTCGCTAAAAATTCGGACCGACATTTCATTCGCAGATATCGTGACAATAAATGCATGTAAATATTCTGCTGATGTCTGTATTTTAATAAGAATATAATACAATGGTCAATTAATTATTTATAAAATTACATAGTTATTTATCAGACACTTACTTGACCATAGATTTGTTTAATAGATTGGGTCGATTCGGGTTAAATAATAGAATGGCCGTTAGCTATCAAAAGAGAAACATTAATTAGTATGATTAATATACTGAACATAAGGTAAAATGTAGTCAATCATTGGGAACATACAAAGTCAATAATAAGTGGATCGGATTCCCAGTCGAGTCCCATGTTTTGTAGGAAACTTCTGTGATAGTCATAAGTACCGCAACCGACGGACTCTAACCTTCCCTCCCTCTTAAACAACTCCAACGTTACGCGATATGTGGTATTGTTCTGTCATTTTATCATAAGATTTAATTTAAAATTATGATAATTATAAGTTAACTACAAAATAATATTATATATCAATTGTTTTCTAACCAAAATAATGTCCCAAAAGCCTTCCTCGAAGTTAAAACACGAAATCATACGTAAATTAATGATCTCTAGAGCCGAGTATTTAATTAGTGTCAACCGATCGCTCTCCACGAGTCCATTGAATCCAGTGATACACTTAGACATTGCGATGATATCGCGGATCCGTAACTCGTGATCTATTTTAAAGACATCGAGGGCTCCCTTGATATCCATATACATGGGTTCGCCCACTCCTTTGGTCTCGATTTGTATACACTTTAAGCCATCAATCAATTCGCCGAACACTTTGCCCTCCAATTCATTGAAACCGCTGTTGTAATCAGTGATAGGCCTGAAGACGGCCGGCATTAAACTCATGGCGGGCTCTTCGGTCTCGATCTGGAGGTCTGTGTCATCGATCAAGTCCTTGGCGTCTGTCAGCAACTCATTGATCACTTCGTCCTCCAAGTCGTTGTCGTGAAGCATATCATTAAATGAGACGTCAGTATCGATGGCTGAAGCGGTCGGTTCTGGCGGTGAATCGGAGCCAGAGTTGGTCTCTTCTTCGGCTCCCCTGGCCTTACGTTTGCGTTTTTGTCGACTGTTTGGCTGTTTAACAATGGATGCGCTCTTCTCTCGATGTTTACACGAATAGATCAGATCCTAAACACAGATGTAATGATAAATCAATAAGTTTTCAATAATTTTTTCACACTTTTTGTTACATACGGTTTTCATACCGACGGAAAAGCATTTGTTTAAACGACACTTTTTGCAGTGCTTTCGGTTATCGATGTCTATTTTGCAGGCATTACCCAAATAGCACCGGAAATGGTCCTATAGTTCAGTCATATAGTTATTAAGTTGTATTAATTAACACATATTATACAATATTTGCAATCAATTAATGTATTTACGGGAATCAAAGCACTTCTCCTGAAGAATGATTTGCAGCTCTCGCAAGTGATTGCATCAAAATGATAGCCTTTTGAATGAATAACAATTTAATTTTGGTCAATTTAATAGACATTTTAATTATACTTAATACAAATAATATTTTTTAGCTTGGTGACATTAAAATTATGGTAGAAAATGTCTATTATAATAATCTCTTACCACTGGACACATCACCACATATTTGACACTTTTTATTACTTGATTTATAAGCCATAACAATATTAGAGATTTTTAATTCAAATTAAATATTGTTTTTTACTAAATTATTATAAAATTAAAACTAAAATACAATATAAATTAGTGTTAAAATGCTAATTATTAGTACAATTACTACAAATGTTTGCAATAATTGTAGTTAACTTTCATTAGACTTTCATTAAAAGATTGTCATATCTTAAAAAGTTATCATTACTTTATTTCATAATTCAATTTCTCATAAAAACACATTTTTATGTATAAATATTATTTAGATAAGCGCTTAAAATATTAAACATGACCATGATACGGCACAGTTGTGCACTATAACATATCCATAAAAATGAATTTATTTATTAGCCTAACATTTAGAAAGGGATGATATAATGGTGCAAATGGTTTGCTTTCAAATTACTACTTTACTAATTCAAATACAGCAGTTATTTGCTCAAGCACATTTAATGCATATGAATATCACGTGAACATATGAAAGTAATTGTGATTGATAAGCTATCAATCATATATGACAAATAACAATTGTGCTGCGTTTTTATACATCCAGAATAGTTTACACTGTTATTTTATAATATTGCATAATATTATTATTATACGGCAATTTTAACTTACCTGTGTTTGTCAAAAGTAATTATGTAATAGTGATTGGTTACTTTAAAATCACAATTTATTTTTAATTACTGTATATTAAGTTCTCATAAAAATAGCATAACAAATAAAATTCATGTCATAATGTTTTGTAATTCAATGACTCGTAGCCTCTCGTACTCTCAATTAATTAACATATTATACGGCAAATACTTTAATAAAATAACTTAATAAATTTATTTTTATTTTTATAAAACTAAATTACAATTAATTTCTTTCGCAAATCTCTTTAAAAAGTGGCGTAGAATTAAGATTAAGTTGTTGTGTATGTGAGACAACACAATCGCTTAGTTTTGTTAAATATTGCAAATTATTAATTAAGCGCTGAAATTTAATTTTGGTCAAAATGCTTGATTCGCATTTCATATTCAAATACCGGTAAAGCAAATGCATGTAAATCTCTCGTCGCTCTCTGAAAAGTACATAGATTTTTTTACAAAATAAATACAATTTGTATAATTCTACATTCTACTTGATCACTTACTTAATTAAATTTGTATTAATTAATTTTGGCCGATGTGGATTAAACAGTAGTATTGCCGATAACTGTGAATTAAATAATATGTTATTAGCATAAATATTGTATACAGTATTAACATAAACATAAATAATATGTTTACTAAATAATAAAAGTATAGCTAAAGTTAAATAACCAAATCAATGATCATTGGATCCGATTCCCAGTCGAGTCCCATATTTTCCAGATATAACTTATCTAACAAATAGATGTCTTCGGAAAACTGTGTCATTAGCTTAATAATATCGATATGCAGATGATATACCTTGTTGTTCTACATGATAATAAATATTTATTATTAGGGTAAGAATTATTACAGTAATTTATACAATAAAGCTAAATTAATAAGAATAACAATACTAACAATAACGTTGGCAAAACACTGGGTCTCAAAATTGAATTTCATGATCATTCTCATGGCGTCAATTTCAATGGCCGAGTATTTAAGCAAAATGATCTGATCATGGTCGCACAGGCTATTGAATCGGTGCAATGATTTAGACATTTGCACAATCAGTTTAACCGCCCCTTCGTTTTGGGCCATTACTAAAGACCACATCTCTTGGGTGTCTTTGGGGTCCGTAACGTCTGTAGTAAATACTGATATTTCCATACATTTTAACGCATCAAATAATTCGCTCAATTGATTGCCTTCTAATTCATTGAAAGTAATTTTGTAAGCAGTGATGGGCCGCGCGATTGGCACCACAGATAGCTCAGTACTATCGCTATTTTGACCACAATTTGTATTGGTATTAGGTTGTGAATCGCCACTGGATTCTGTGCTCTCACCATTGGTTACCGTATTTTCTATTAAATTCTGTGATTCTGACAAAACAATTGTCTCATTTCTGGTTGAATCCGATGAAGTGCTTGTGTTTGGCTCAGAGTCAGCCTTTTTGGCCATTGTTTGCCTTATTATACGATTTTCTGCCACAATATGTCTTCGGATTTGGATTTGTTTATCCGAATAAATCAAAGACTATATAATTTGGTAATTAATCTTTAAATATAAATATAATTTTTAAATTTCATTTCATACGGTTCTCATTCCGACGACCAAACACTTATTCAAACGACACTTTTTACATGTATTTCTATTACCGCCACTCATATTACATCTGCCATTAAAAACACAGTAGAATTTTGCCTAAAATATAAACAAATTAATAATATATTTCTAAATAATGTATACTTTACCGCATTTTTGAGTGCATTTCTTCTAAAGAATGACTTACACGACTCACACGTCAGTACTTCGTAATGATACCCTATTCATTTAATATACTAATTGTATTAATCATTTAAGTTATACAGTATAACTTATACTCTACCAATCATGCACACTTACCACTGGCTATTTCTCCGCACACCAAACATAGTCTCTCCTGTATTTGGTCTGACATTTTGGCCGATCTTATTATGATATATAATAATTACATTAATTTTAATTGAATGTACCAACATGTGTTATCAATTTTGTAAGTTCTTAATGTTATTTATTATATTCATTGTGTTTCTGTGGAAACTTCTATCAGTGGGTATTGTATTGATTGTGTGTAACAATTATTAGTGCTTTTAAATAAATACTTTTTAATTGATATTTAATTCAAACTGAATATTTAATTATATAAAATACTATTTTATTGATATATAATGAATACATGTCCATTTCACTAACTGTACATATACTGTATCTAATTATTGATTTAAAGTTTTACATAATTACATAAAATGCATTTTTCTTTTACACTAAAAATATAATATCAATTATTTCAAGTTTATTTCAATTAACAATTCCATTCAATTTATTTTTAATATGTCAATTCCTCAAATGTCCATGGGCATTCATATTTTATTATTTTTTATAGATCCAGATGTTATTTTCTCATAATGAACTTATAGAAATAATTTATAAACATTTGTTAAACAAATCATAACTTATTAACTTAACAAGTTATGGCCCATAACTTATCCCAAAATATAATGATATTTTTACATTTGCTTTATTTTCAATTTTATTATTTTAAAACTTTAAATAAAACTTTACCTGTTTAAATTAATAATACTGTAAACCCAATGTAAACAAAATAATAAGATTTTTGAGTTTCTATTAATATAAATTTGTTTAAATATATAGTTTTAAAAGTAATCAATTATTGATACTTCTTGATAAATAACCTGTTATAAAATATTAGGTAAATATTTAATTTAAAAATGAATTTATTTTATTTTACACATTAAACTAGATCTTCGGTAAATAAAAAGTGTAATAATTTATATAACATAACAATTACCATAATATAATAAATTAATCTAAATAAACAAATTTTTAATCATCTCTATCGCAGATTTCCTTAACAAGTGGTGCAAAATCTACATCTAATTGTTGTGAAGACAACACTAAATAGTTGTTAAGAATTGACAGATATTTTAGATTATCTTTTAGACGAGAAAATTTGGATTTCATGAGAAAATCGTTTCCACATTTCATTGTCAGATACCGTTGGAGTAAATAGACGTATAGATTCTGTTGGTGTCTGTAATTAGTAATTACATAACATTATTATACATGTAATTTATTAATTCATTGTTCACTCACTTTATCATGTTTTTATTGACTAGTTTTGGTCGGTTTGGATTAAACAGTAGTACTGCCGACAACTGTGGGTCAAATAATAACTAGATATTATATTAATTTAGTTATAAATATTACCAAATCAATGATCAAAGTATCCGATTCCCAGTCGAGACCCATATTTTCCAGATATAACTTGTTATACCTATGGATCTCTCGGGCATACACTGGCAGTAGTTTAAACATATCAATATGACACACGTAGGACTTTTCATTCTGGTCAATTCAAAACAATTAGTAAATCAATCAATATTCTTTTCAATCAATACTAACAGCATTAACAGTGAAGCATCTATCGCTAAAATTAAATGCCATGATCATTCTTAAGACATCGATCTCAATGGCCGAGTATTTAATCAAAATTAATTGATCCGTTTCGCAGAGGTTTGTGAATCCGTGCAATGATTTAGACATTTGTATTATGTGTTTAATCGCCCACTCGTTTTGAGCCATAACTATAGTCCAGAGCTCAGTCTTATCCTTAACATGTGTAGAGTCGGTATTAAAAGTTGGTATTTGTATGTGTTTTACGGCAGACAACAATTCAGTCAATCGATTGCCTTCTAATTCATTGAAAGTATTGCTGTAATCACTGATCGGTCGGGCAATTGGTATCACTGATTGTTCAGATATATCAACCGTCACTTCATTACTCTCTGTATTGTTTTGATAGTAAACTTCCTGTTCATAAGATTGTGTGCTCTCATCACTAATCATATCACTATTTAATGTGTTTTCCACTAGACTTTCAAATGAAATTTCGGACCCGTTTAACACCGTATCGGATGTACAGCTATTGTTAGACTGGGTATCCATTAATGTCTTATTGGCTTTCATTAGCCGTTTTCGGTGATTCTCTTCCACAGCATGTCTTCGAAGTTCTTTCCGTTTCTCAGAATATATTAAACTCTTTAATGAAAATTGTTTTCAAACTTTTAAATAGTTTTAGAATAAAATGAAAAAGTTTTGTTTTCATACGGTTTTCATTCCGAGGGCTAAACACTTATTCAGACGACAGCTTTTGCATCGTTTCCTACTTTTCACACTTATATTGCAATTTCCGCCCAAAAAACAATTGTATTTATGCTAAACATTAGAAAATTAATTATTTTCAATAATGTAAAATTTGCATTCATTAATACAAATTAGATTTTACCGCATTTTTGAGTGCATTTCTTCTAAAAAACGACTTACACGACTCACACGTCAATACCTCGAAGTGATATCCTATTTATTCAATACATAAATAATTTTACATTTAATTAATTAATTTTATAATTTTTAATTCGCATAATATTTACCACAGGCAATATCTCCGCAAACGAGACATAATTTGTGATTTGTTTGGTCTGACATTTTGCTCAAGTGTTGGGAGACTATCATTAAGTAAATATACAATTCAATTGATCAAGGTTATAATAAAATGCTATTTGTTTTTTAATTGCATTAGGTAATGAAGACTGAATATTTCCATGGTAACTTTTGTACTCATACGATGCAACATTTATAATATAAATATCGTTGTTTAATTCAATGTTTTATATAAGGTCGTCCAAAAAGTATTGAGCACCGGAATTTGGCAAATACTCAGCAACCGCTGAAGTGATAGTGTTGTAATTTCATGCATATATAGATCCATGTCGGGGAATTTTTATGCTATAAAAATTTTGTCGGTCACGTGACTATTTTCTGAGAAAAAGGTACCATTCCGAAATCACTAGTATTGTGCCTACTATGCTCATGATAGGAAGGGGTGGGGGAGGTGGTTTTGTAGTGGAGATGTCATAGTGTTATATAAACTTGAAAACATTATGGTTGAATTGCAGGGTTTTATATAGTATGTGTACAAAGTTGACCAATTTTTGCATGTTAACCTATGGGAGAGTAAAATAAAATTGGATTGAAATATAATTAATTATATTTTTAGATACTACATTAAATGCTGACAATGTTAGTAGAAAAAATTTTTGGAAAATTTAATTCCAAAGAAAAAATGTCTTAAATTGAAATATTGCAAATATCGAGCTTTTTTGGGTTTTTATGGCTAAAACTCAATATTTCAATTTAAGATATTTCGTCTTTGGAATTAAATTTTTCAAAAATTTTTTCTACTAACATTATCAGCATTTAATATAGTATCTGAGAATATGATTAATTATATTTGAATCCAATTTTATTTTACACTCCCATAGCTTAACATGCAAAAATTGGTCAACTTTGTACACATACTATATAAAACCCTGCAATCCAATCATAATGTTTTCAAGTTTATATAACACTATGACATCTCCACTACACAACCATCTCCCCCACCCCTTCCTATAATGAGCACAGTAGGCACAATACTAGTGATTTCGGAATGGTACCTTTTTCTCAGGAAATAGTCACGTGACCGACAAAATTTTTATAGCATAAAAATTTCCCGACATGGATCTATATATGCATGAAATTACAACACTATCACTTCAGCGGTTGCTGAGTATTTGCCAAATTCCGGTGCTCAATACTTTTTGGACGACCTTATAGTTATATAACTTATATATCAATAGGCTATTGCTAAAAAGGAATCAATTTAGGCATCAAATGGCCTAGGTCATTTTAATTTTAATTAGTATGGATGTGTTTAGTGTGGTGACCAGATTACAATTATTATTATCAATAAAACAACCCTTTTAATTATTAATTTAATAAATGTTTTGTAAATATTAATACAGTAATATTTATATGTATTTACTGTATATAATATTTACTGTATTAATATTTATATGAATTGATCTATTTTGAAACAATATATTATACATTAATTCTATTTGATGGGATTTAATTTCAAAACGGATAAATAGCTGAACCGTCTATTGTATAGATTTTATTTAATTTTCCCGAAATTATTTTCTTTGAAAGCATTAGTTAAAAATACTCGTAAATTTAGAATTGTATTAATTTGTATTCAATTTAAAATGTATTTTTTCAAAAGAATTTGAATTTCAAATGACATTTATTTTTCTAAATATGAATGAAATGAATGGAGAGATTTGTGGCGCCGATAAGTAGTCACTGGTCTTCGCGTTGAGTACTGAAGACATGGCTTACTATCACACTCTCATGCATTGAGACATTCTTTGTGTCCATCCTTTGAAACAGTTCTCTCTTCATGATTGGCAACAAATCCAACCGCAATACTCGTCGCCTATTGGCCAGTGTTTCGGTTAGAAAATAGATCAACACTTCTATCAGATCCCCTTTCGGTACTAAATCAATGCTAAGCCGATCGACACCAGCGAAGAGTTCCAGAATATGTCTTGTAATCCGACCATTGGTGACACTACAGATAATAATATGTTTCAATTCCGGCAGTTTTGATACCCTTTTCATAGACCGATAGAAACATAGAATACAGTCCTCTTCGTCCTCACAATCGGTGCGATAGTACATGAAATTGACATAAAATTTGCGTACATTTGGAAATATTTTCGCCAAATTTGACCACCGATTCGGTGAACACTTCATTGACCGCAGAGATAGTGTCTTCAACGACACCATTGGTTGCATATATTTGGCCATCTCTTGAGTGTCAAAACACATACTTTGGCTCCATTTGTTTGAAGTTTCTATAATTTCCAGCGCTTTTAAGTCTTCAAGTTTTGCTATACTTCGGGCAAAATCTTTGGCTGAAATGTTTCCCAAACGAGTGTCCAAATGTGTCAAATACTTGAGACGATTGCAGATCACAACAAACCATCGATTCCAGAGATTAAACTCTATGATTGGTTTTGACGCCTTATAAATGGTTAGTTTCTTGAGTTTCGGGCATTTTGTTGTGATCACATCAATGGCCTGACTGTGCGCTGGAGTCACACCAGTGATGAACAGGGATTTGATGTTTACTGACAAGCAATCGGTCAGTAATGATGGACCCGTCGTTTGAATCAAAACTTTTGCACACAAACCCCAAACTTTAAGCGCTTGTAAGGCAGACATTCTCTGCATTATATTTATTAAAAATGACACATATTTTCCATCAATATCTCTGATATTAATGTATTTAATTTTTGCCATAAGTTGTGCCCATTCGGTGACTGTTTCACTCGTGACAAATAAATCAATGCGATTGATGTGCAGACTCTCGAGTTGTGGCCAATGATTAATAAACAGCTCTAATATCTTGAAACTAATTACAGTTGTGGACAGATATAAGTTTTTTACGCCACGGAATTGACGGACAATTGACTCGAGTCTATCACCAAATGTCAAATCAATGCCTTTCGTTGATATAGTGAGCGCTGGTGTGATGTCTACGCGATTCCAATCTCTGGTCTCAAAGTTTCGGTTAAAACATCTTAACCCTGAAGTCGTCTCCAAATTATTGAATCCAATGCTCACTCTTCTCCTCCTTTGAAGCACTTGTTGTGAGCAGTCGTTGAACTGTTGTGACACTCGTTGTAATGAAAACAAATCTTTGAGATCCAATCGCTTGATTATATCCAACAGAATGTCATCATTCATGACATGTCTTCTTCTGGAACTCATTTCTTTAGCTCTTTGTTTCAAACCTTTGATTACTTTTGAAAAATATGTCAATTATGAATTTCTAACGGATTTTAAATGTAATGTAAATAAAAATATAAACTAATCATTTATTTGTAAATCGCGTTCAAAAATAAGTATTTGTTATAGAATTTAATTGAAACAAATAAATATTAATTGATTGAACAATACGTGCACTGAAATGAATTCATAGATTAAGTTTTGATTAAATGAAAATAACTTTATTTATCAATGATCTCAGAGATAGGTTTGAAACAAATATCATTCACTGGTGAGCGTATTGGGTACTGAAGACGTGGCCCACAATCACACTCTCAGGCATTGAGACATCCATTTCTTCCATCTTTTGGATCAGTTTTTTCTTCACGATTGGCAACAAATCCAAACAGAATACTCGCCGCCTATTGGCCAGTGTTTCGGTCAGAAAATGGATCAACACTTCGATCAGATCCTCTTCCGGTCTCCCATTAATGCTAAGCCGATTGACACCAGCGAAGAGCTCCACAATATGTCTTGTAATCCTACCGTCGCTGACATTACCGATAATAATGTGTTTCAATTCCGGCAGTTTTGACACCCTTTTCATACACCGATAGAAACATAGATTACAGTCGTTTCCGTCCTTACAATCGGTGCGACAATACATGTAATCGACACTCATTTTGCGTACGTTTGGAAATATTTGCGCCAAATTTGACCACCGATTCGGTGAACACTTCAATCCATTCAATGACAGCGATCGCATCGACACCATTGGTCGCACATATTTGGCCAACCCTTGAGTGTCGAAACACATACTTTGGATCCAATCATTTGAAGTTTCTATAATTTGCAGCGCTTTTAAATTTTCAAGTTTTGCTAAACTTTGGGCAAAAACTTTGGCGGAAATGTCTCCCAAACGAGTGTTTAAATGTTGCAAACATTTGAGTCGATCGCAGATCATAACAAACCATTGGTTCCAGAGATCAAACTCTACAGAATTTGTCTCTTCCCACGACTCGTAAATGTGTAATCTTGTAATTTGCGGGCATTTACTTGTGATCACATCAATGGCCTGACTGTACGCTGGAGTCACACCGATGTCCAGGGATTTGATGTTTACTGACAAACAATCGGTCAGTAGTGATACAGTTGTCGTTTGATTCCAAATGTTTGACCAAAAACACCAAATTTTAAGCGCTTGTAATGAAGACATTCTCTGCATTATATTTATCAGAAATGACACATATTTTCCATCAATATATCGGATATTAATGTATTTAATTGTTGACAGAAGTTGTGCCCATTCGCTGACTGTTTCACTCGTGGCAACCAAATCAATGCGATTGATGTGCAAACTCTCGAGTCGTGGCCATTGATTGATAAAGAACTCTAATATCTTGAAAGTGATTACAGTTGACGACAAATATAAATACTTTACGCCACGAAATTGACGGACAATAGACTCGAGTCTATAACCAAATGCCAAATCAATGCCAATCATTGATATAGTGATCGCTGGTGTAATGTCTATTCGATTCCAGTCTTTGGCCTCAAAACTTCGGTTAAAACGTCTTAACCCTGAAGTCGTCTCCAAATCATTGAATCCAATGCTCACTATTTTCTTCGTCCGAATCACTCCTTGTGAACAACGGCTGAACTGTTGTGACACTCGTTGTAATGAAAACAAGTCTTTGATATCCAATCGCTTGAATATATCTAACATAATGTCGTCATTCATGACATGTCTTCTTCTGGAACTCATTTCTTTATCTCTTTGTCTCAAACCTCTGATTACTTTTGATAAATATATTGATTTTGAATTCCTAACGAATTTTAAATGTAATGTAAATAAAAATATAAACTAATTATTTATTTGTAAATCGCGTTCAAAAATAAATATTTGTTATAGAATTTAATTAAAACAAATAAATATTAATTGATTGAACAATACGTGCACTGAAATGAATTCATAGATTAAGTTTTGATTGAATGAAAATAACTTTATTTCTCAATGATTTGTATTTGAAATGATATTTATTTAACGAATTGTGAATGAAATGAACGGAGGGATAGGTTTGAGAAAACGATAAATCATTTAAATATTGAACTTAAATACAAAACTTGAAAACTTGACCAAAAATCACACAACCATTCATTGGGATATCGATTGTCGCCATTCTTTGGATGAGTAGTCTCTTGTCATTCGACCACATATTCAATCGGAATTCTCGCCGCCTATTGTCGAGTGTGAAGACTATAAAGTGGATCAATTCATCGATCATATCTTCATTGCAGTAATCGATGCTGAGCTGATCCACACTTGCAAACAATTCCAGTATATGTTGTGTGATGTGACATCCATTGGGTGCGTAACCGATAAAAATATGTTTCAATTTCGGCAATTTTGACACACAATCCATACACCGATAGAAACACTCATTACAATCGTCTCCGTGTTTACAGTCCGACCGATAATACATGTAATCGACAGTCAATTGGCGGACATTCGGGAAAATTTGAGAGAAATTTGACCACCGATTCGGCGAACAGTTCATTCCCCGCAGCGATAGTGTCTTCAACGACACCATTGGCCGCATATAACGGGCCATCTCTTGAGTGTCGAAACACATTCTCGTGAAATCCTCGGTGTGTATAAACGCAAGGCAATTGATGATAAGTGTTTGTAATTCGTTTAGTTTTGCCATATTTTTGGCCAATTCTTTGGCGGAAATGTCGAAAAAAATAAACTTCAAATACTTGAGTGCTTTGAGTCGATCGCAAACCATTGCAAACCATTGGTTCCAGAAATCAAAATCTGTGACATTTACTGGTCTATAGGACTCATAAATGGATAGTTTCTTAATTTGTTGGCATTTAGTTGTGATCACATCAATGGCCTGACTGTCTGCTGGATTCACACCGATTTTTAGGGATTGGATGTTTGCCGACAAACAATCGGTCAGTACTGATAATGTAATGGTTTGGTTACCACTTATTCGCCAAACGTTTACACTTTGAAATGATGGCAAGTTTGCGATAATATCTGTGAGAAGTGACACATATTTTCTATCAATACTTCCGATAGTAATGTGTTTGACTTTAAAGAGAAGTTGTGTCCATTCGGTGATAGTCTTGTCACTCGAGTCATAGATATCGATGTCATAGACTAAGAGTTCTTCGAGATGTGGCCACTGATTGACGATCAGCTCTAATGTCTTGAAACTGATGACAGTTGTGGACAGATATAACTTCTTCACGTCTCGGAATTGGCGGACAATTGACTCCATATTTTGGTTTCGGTTGTGATTTAATACCAAATTAATGCCTATTAAACTGATCGCTGGCGTGATATCAATCAGATTCCAGTCGTTGACTTCGAAGTTTTGTTTAAACCATCTTATCTTTGAATTTGTCTTGAAATCATTGAATCCAACGCTCACTTCTCTCTTACACTTCAGCACTTGTTGTGAACAACGGCTAAACTGTTGTGACACTCGTTGCCAACCAAACAAGTCTTTGAGATCCAATCGCTTGAATATATCCAACAGAATGTCATCATTCATGACATGTCTTCTTCTGGAACTCATTTCTTCGATTCTTTATTTCAAACCTTTGATTACTTTTGAAAAATATATTGATTTTGAATTTCCAATGGATTTTAAATGTAATGTAAATAAAAATATAAACTAATTATTTATTCGTAAATCGCGTTCAAAAATATATACTGTATTTGTTATAGATTTTAATTGAAACAAATAAATATTAATTGATTGAACAATACATGCACTCAAATGAATTAATAGATTCAGTGTTGATTGAATGAAAGTAACTTTATTTCTCAATAATTTGTATTTGAAATGATATTTATTTCATTAAATATGAATGAAATCAACGAAGAGATAGGTTTGAGAAACCGATAAATCACTTAAATATTGAGCTTAACTAAAAAACTAGAAAAGGTGGCCAAAAATCACACATCCATTCATTGGGATATCGATTGTCGCCATTCTTTCGATGAGTCGTCTCTTGTCATTTGACCACATATTCAATCGGAATACTCGTCGCCTATTGTCGAGTGTGAAGACTATAAAGTGGATCAACTCATCGATTATATCTTCATTACAGTACTCGATGCTGAGCTGATCCACATTTGCAAACAGTTCCAGTATATGTCTTGTGATGTGACAACCATTGGGTGCGTAACCGATAAAAATATGTTTCAATTTTGGCAGTTTTGAAACAGAATCCATACACCGATAGAAACACTCAATACAATCGTCTCCGTGTTTACACTCCGAGCGATAATACATATAACCGAAAGTCAATTTGCGGACATTTGGGAAGATTTGGGAGAAATTTGACCACCGATTCGGCGAACACTTCATTTCCCGCAGCGATAGTGTCTTCAACGACACCATTGGTTGCATATATTTTGCCATCTCTTGAGTATCGAAACACATTCTCGGGAAATCCTCGATGTGTGAAAACATACGGAAAGTGATGTCAAGTGTCTGTAATTCGTTTAGTTTTGCAATATTTTTGGCCAATTCTTTGGCGGAAATGTCAAACAAAACAAACTTCAAATACTTGAGTGCTTTGAGTCGATGGCAAACCATTGCGAACCATTGGTTCCAGAGATCAAAATCTGTGACATTTACCGGTCTGTAGCACTCATAAATGCATAGTTTCTTAATTTGTTGGCATTTAGTTGTGATCACTTCCAGTGCCTGACTGTCCGCTGGATTCACACCGATTGTTAAGAATTGAATGTTTGCCGACAAACAGTCGGTCAGTACTGATAATGTTATGCTTTGGTTATCCATTAATCGCCAGACGTTCACACTTTGAAGTGATGGCAAGTATTTGATAATATCTGTGAGAAGTGACACATATTTTCTATCAATACTTCCGATAGTAATGTGTTTGACTTTAGAGAGAAGTTGTGTCCATTCGGTGATAGTCTTGTCACTCGAGTCATAGATATCGATGCCATTGATATAGATTTCTTCGAGATGTGACCATTGATTGACGATCAGCTCTAATGTCTTGAAACTGATGACAGTTGTGGACAGATATAACTTCTTCACGTCTCGGAATTGGCGGACAATAGACTCCATATTTTGGTTTCGGTTGTGATTTAATACCAAATTAATACCAATGAAACTGATCGCGGGTGTGATGTCTAAGCGGTTCCAGTCTTTGACTTCAAAGTTGGGTTTAAAACATCTTATCCTTGAATCTCTTTTCAGATCATTGAATCCAACGCTCACTTCTCTCTTCTTCTGAAGCACTTGTTGTGAACAACGGCTGAACTGTTGTGACACTCGTTGTAATGAAAACAAGTCTTTGATATCCAAGTATTTGAATAGATCTAAGAGAATGTCATCATTCATGACATGTCTTCTTCTGGAACTCATTTCTTCGATTCTGTATTTTTATTTCAATTCTTTGATTACTTTTCAACAAATTTATTGATTTAAATATTTAACTGCTTTTAAAATTACACAAAATTGATAAACTAATTGTTGAAAACGCGTTCAAAATTAAATTATTTATTTAGCATTGAATTGAGGTTATATGAAGTAAAATACAGTATTTTCTACAATTAGAAATTACAATAGATTTAAATCACAAATAATAATTTAGAATTATTTAATACATTTTAAAAAATTGTATAAAATATTGATTATTTAATCGATGCGATTACAGAGCTCTGCAAAGAGAGGTGTTTTGCTGTGTGGCCAATGATGGTCTCTCGAGTGCTCCACTATTTTATCATGTAATTTGTTTAAATATTTTATACCACTTTCTAAGCGCATATATTTGGCCGAAGATAACAATTCCGATCGATATTTCATTTGCAAATATCGGTTCAATAAATATATGTATATATTTTGTTGATATCTAGACAAATAATTATTAATAATAGGAACAAATAGATTAAATTACAATATTTATAACAAAAAACTAACTTGATCAAAGTCCTATCACTCAGATGTGGTCTGTTTGCATTGAATAGCAGGATAGCAGTTAACTGCAATCGAAATTTAATCAAAATTTTAATATTTTATTTCATTTTAATTAAATAATTACAAAATCAATGATAAGAGGATCCGATTCCCAGTCGTGACCAATGGATTGAAGGAATTCTGTGTGACAGTCATATGTGGTTTGCATTTCACCAATTAATTTGTGGTGTTTGAATAGATCCAATCGCACCAAGTATGAACTATCACCCTGGTCATTATTACAATAATATTTAATATTTATAGAGTGCATACATACCATAATTATATGACAATTAAATTAGTTTAATGTCTCACCAAAACTATATCCCAATAACACTCTTGAAAATTAAATAACGAAACCATACGTAAAAGATTGATCTCAATCGACGAGTATTTAATCAAAACCAACTGATCCTCAGCGCAGAGATCGCTAAAACCGGACAATAGTTTAGACATCTGTACGATATCTTTGATGCCGTTCTCGTGTTTTATATTCATTACACGAAATCCATCGCTCATCTCATCGACAATTGTCTGATCCCTGATCTTAACAATAGATTGAAGTTTTTTAATGCCATTTAATAATTCAGTGAATCGATTGGCTTCTAATTCATTGAAAACAGTGCTGTAATCAGTGAGCGGTCTATTAATGGACACGAGTTGTTGTTCCGATATATTTGTACTAATATTATCGTCACAAACATTGCCTACACTTTCATCAATACATTGATTATCGGAGAAATCAGATGACAATAAATCTTCGCCACTGTTTGACGAGTCCTCCACTACTTGATTGTCATTTAAGTAGTTTATATCCCATTTAAGTTTTCGAGAATAAATTAAGCGCTAAAATAAAACACAGTATATTAAATATAATTTATAATAATTGCAATTAAATTGTATAAATAATACGGTTTTCATTCCTGCAGCCAAACACTTATTCAAACGACATCTCTTACAGTGTTTCCTATTGTCGACAGTTATCTCACAATTGCCGCCCAAAAAGCATTTCAATTCATCCTAATATTATATTTAATTAATTCTTGGTTAATATAATTATATTGTTTTTAAAATACAATATTTTACTACATTTTTTAATGCATTTCTCCTAAAAAATGATTTACAAGATTCACAACTCGTTGCATCAAAATGAAAACCTATTTTATTAATTATGAACATACTTATTAATATTTTAAATTCTTGGTCCGTATAAAAACTTACCACATGCTATAGCACCGCATATACGACAGTATTTAGTATTAATAGGTGTTTGAGTAGACATTTTTACACACTATTTATCTATTAATTATATTAGTAGTGGTTATTTAAATAATTCAAAAAGCATATCTTAAAACTAGACAATTGTACATAAACTCAAAGTGATAAATTTTTTATAACACATTATTTACATTTACATTATTCAAATGTATTTAATAAATTATAATATGTTTATTATTACAGCACATAATTAAACAAACATTGCATTACATCCATAATTAGCCAAACAAACAGTCCTTGAATTACTGTTTAATTGCTATAGAAATGAAAATGATATGAAATGTAATGATGAGTGCAATTGATTTTTGAACTCAATATTTGTTTTAATGATCAGTTGAAAGGAAAAGTAATTAAAATTTTATGCACCTCGAAGAATCCATTATCTCGATAGTTATAAATTTTAATTGAAATTTCTAAATTAAATTAAAGTTTTGTAAAATCTTTAAATATTTAATTTATAAAAACTTCAAAATATAATAAATACATCCGAATTATACATACAGTATAATTGTAAATAACATTTATTCAAAGTGATTACAAATCTCTGTAAAGAGAGGTGTTTTGCTTTGTGGCCAATGATCCTGATTCCAGTGCTCCACTAGTTTATCATGTAATTTAGTCAAGTATTTTAAACCATTTTCTAAACGCATATATTTGGCCGACGATAACAAATCCGACCGATATTTCATTTGCAAATACCGTTTAAATAAATATATGTATATATTCTGTTGATATCTTGATGAATTATAAAATACAAGTGACTTATTTTAAAAATAAGTAATACATTTGTTTAAAACTAACTTAATCATGTTCCTATGAATTAGATGCGGTTGATTTGGGTTGAATAGGAGGATAGCAGACAACTGCAATAAAAAATAAAATTAAAAGTACAAGATTAATTAGTTTTAATCAAATAATTACAAAATCAATAATAAGCGGATCTGATTCCCATTCCAGTCCAAAGTATTGAAGAAAGTCTTTGTGGTAATCATAAGGATTTCCAATTTCACCATTATATGTATGGTGTTTGATTAGATCCAAACTCACCACATATAACCTATTATCCTGGTTGTTTTATAAATTTAGATTAGTACACGTTTTAAATATTATGGTTAATAATTTTCTTACTATAACTATTTCCCAATAACTTTCTTGATAGTTAAATGACGGAACCAAATGCAAAATATTAATGTCTATCAACGAGTATTTAAGTAAAGCCAACTGATCCTCATTACAAAGACAACTAAAACTAGACAATCGTTTCGACATCTTTACGGTATCTTTGAACCCATTTTCGTGTTTCATCGCTAATGCATGTAATCCTTCGGTCATCTCATTAACAAATGTCTGGTCTATAATATCGATGAAATTTTGAGATTTTTTAGTCGCATTCAGTAATTCAGTGAATCGATTGGCCTCTAATTCATTGAAAACAGTGCTGTAATCAGTAATCGGTCTATTGATGGACACCAGTTGTTGTCCCGATATATTTGTACTAATATTATCGTCACAAACATTGCCTACACTTTCATCAATACATTGATTATCGGATGACAATAAATCTTCGCCACTCGTTGTCGAGTCCTCTGCTATTTGTGTGTCATTTAAGTACTTTATATCCCATTTAAGTTTTCGAGAATAAAGCATGTGCTAAATTAAAACACTATTAAAATCAATAACTTATAATAATAACAATTAATTTGTATAAATAATACGGTTTTCATTCCTGCGGCCAAACACTTATTCAAACGACATCTCTTACAGTGTTTCCGATTGTCGGCAGTTATCACACAATTGCCGCCCGAAAAGCATTTCAATTCATTCTGTTGTAAATTATTAAAATACATATTCAACTAAATATATACAGTACTTATTATTTTCAAAATCCAAAAAATTACTTTATTTTTCAGCGCATTTCTTGTAAAAAATGATTTACAAGATTCACAACTCAATGCATCGAAATGAAAGCCTGTGTTAATTATGAACAAAATTAGTAATGATTAAATTGTCAATTAATACAATTGTACCAAATGCTATGTCACCGCATATACGACAGTATTTCGTAGGCATTTTAACAGACATTTTTAAACACTATTTATTACTTAATTATGTTTTTACTTAATTAATAATTAAGGCAATCATTGTATTATATATTTAACAGAATAGTTATATAAATAGTTAGAAAAATTGAAAGCTACTCAATTGTAAACAATAAATTGTTTTAAATATATACAGTATATTATAATAATCATATTATTATTACACATAATTTAGCAAACATTGCATTACATCCATAATTAGCCAAACAGTCCTTGAATTTCCGCATAAATCTTATCAAAATTAAAATGATATGAAATGTAGTGATTAAAGTAATTTACTTTCAAAGGCAAAATATCAATATTTATTTTAAAAATTTGATTAATAATTATAAGTAATGTTTTAGCATTTATAAATAATGGAAATATTGATAATTGGATAATTATTTCTTGGAGAATCCATTGTCTCATTAAATAAACATTAATTAATATTTAATAACTAAATTAAAATTTTAAATATTTATAAAAATTATTTAAATATTTATATAATTACAAACAAACAATAAAAATCAAATCATTCAACGCGAGTGCAAATCTCTGTAAATAGCGGTGCAGTGTGTAAGGGGTCGGGCAAGTGATGGTGTTTAGAGTGCTCTACTATTTTATCATTTAATTTATTTAAATATTTTATATCACTTTCTAAACGCATATATTTGGCCGACGATAACAATTCCGACCGATATTTCATTCGTAAATATCGGGTAAATAAATATATGTATATATTCTGTTGATACCTATGTAAAATATAAATTACAATAAAATTACCATGTTGCAAATAATTATAATCAATCACAAAACTAACTTAATGGCTGACGGGTAGATCAAATGCGGCCGATTCGGGTTAAATAGGAGAATAGCTGTCAACTGCAATATAAACTCAATTAATATTTATAAATATAAAGTTATTTAATTTGAAATACAAAATCAAGTATAAGTGGATCCGATTCCCAGTCGTGTCCAATGCATTGCAAAAAGTTTTTATGACAATCGTAACTACTTTCAATTTCGCCAGGTACTTTATGGTGATTGAGCAGGTCCAATCTAACCATGTACGAACTATCACCCTGAACATGATAATAGAATTAAACATTTACACAGTTTATCCATAATAATATCAATATAATGACAAATAATTAATTATTTACCAAAACTATATCCCAATAACCTTCTTGAAAATTAAACGACGAAACCATACGTAAAATATTGATCTCAATCGACGAGTATTTAATCAAAATTAAGCGATCGTTTTCGCAGAGATCACCAAAACTGGCCAATAGTCCCGACATTTGAACGATATCTCTGATCCCATTCTCGTGTTTAATATTTAATACATTTAATCCGTCGCTCATCTCATCGATGAATATCCTATTCGTAATGTCGACGAGATTTTGAAATTTTTTAGTGCCATTCAATAATTCAGTGAATCGATTGGCCTCTAATTCATTGAAAACAGTGCTGTAATCAGTGAGCGGTCTATTGATAGACACCAGTTGTTGTTCCGATATATTTACACTAATATTATGATCACTTAAATTGTTGTCAACAATACATTGATTATCCAAGAAATCAAATGATAATAATTCTTTGCTATTTGTTGTCGAGTCCACCACTGATTGTGTGTTATTTATACACTTTATATCCTTTTTGTGTTTTCGTGAATAAATCAAATGCTATTTTTAAAAAGTAATTTAAAATATAAATCAATGCCTTAATTGCAAACTTAAATATCTAGTTAATAAACATTAATACTGTTTTCATTCCTGCGGCCAAACACTTATCCAAACGACATCTCTTACAGCGTTTCCGATTGCCGACAGTTATCTCACAATTGCGGCCCAAAAAACATTTAATGTCATCCTTATATTAAAGTCATATTTAAGTTAATATAAATTTATATAAGTTATAAGATTAATAATAAAATGACATATTTTTTACCATGTCTTTCAAGGCATTTCTCCTAAAGAATGACTTACACGACTCACAACTCAGTGCATCGAAATGAAAGCCTATGAATATAATGATTAATGATTTAACTAAATTGTTATCACATTTTATACCACACGCTATGTCACCGCATATGCGACAGTATTTCGCTGGCATTAAATTAAACATTTTGTACACAATTTAAAATCACTTTATTATAACGTAATTCTTATATGTATTGTCTGGCATAAGAATTGCGTTAATAATACATGCATTCACTTTACAATTGTATTAAACATTCAATACAAATACATGTTGTGTAAACATCTAATAAGTTAATCTAATTATTATCATAAAATACACATCAACTCAACAAATATAAATATAATAAACTATATTACAGTAGTATTTTGTGCCATCGATTGCATGCCTACTGTCCTTCAAGTTCTCTATCAGATAATTAATAAGTCAGTGAATATAGCATTTCAAGAACTTAGTAAATATTAACTGAGATTTTGTATTTAACTTTAACTATGTATTTAATTTTCAAACATTTCAATCAATAAAAACCTAGATTTATAGCAAATGTGTTATTTATGTTTAAATTCATATATCATGTAAATTACAGCGATATTAATGTATTAATGTAATAGTAAAGGCATATAAGATGTCGACAATTTATTGCAATTTATAAATCAATTACAAAAAAGTGTATAAAAATTAACTGTAATTACAAAACTTTACGCTTAGAAGTTTCAAACTTTTTATTCAATTTATATTGAATAACAAAAGGGTTAACAGTCAACTGAATACAGGCTTTAATAGTGTTAAGAGTTAACCCGTTTTCATATCAATAGGTGTTCACTAACTGTAAAGACAACACATTTTGTGTTTCATATAATTTTTGCATAACTTTTTGTGACACAAAACGCGTGAAATGCAAACCAAAAGTCAAGTGAATTAATGATTAGTTTTAATGTGTTTTTTGTATACAAAAAGTTATGCAATAATCATATGAAACACAAAACACATGTCGAGTGATATCATCGATGGTTTGCTCAACACTACTGTCACTCATGTGTATCGCAAACACTCTTCGGACCGATTCTGTGACCACTTGTGTCCATACATTGTCTCACCCGTCAGTCAAAGACCTGTTCCCATACAAGTGTCAACACAATAGCAGCGATGGTTATATTGAGTGCAGACATGGCTTCTGGTCGATGAGGAAGTAGTCAATAGAGTGGCCATCGATGGCGAGCACTTCCAACAGATCCAGAGCTCAAGACAAATGTATACAGAAATGAGTTGTAATTAAAATGCATTTAATTGCAAACCAATTGTTGTGTAATTTATATCACGTTTTCATTTGAATTCAAACTTTCAATTGTTTTACTAATTATTCGTTATTTTATTAGATTAACAGTCAGTTTGAAAGACAGAACTAATCAACTGAAACACTAAATGGCAGACAACGGATCCCAAGAAGAGGACAATCAGGTAATGGTATCACACAATAGTTGAACCACTCATTTGACAATTGATTTGATTTGCAGTCAATTGACGCGTCCGTCGGTGACTCCGACGAAGAGATGTCTCAACAAATGGATAGTCATTCAGAGGACTCGGAAAGCGATGACAACGAGATCGGCGGCGACGGTCAGTCTGGGCTCACATTTAGTTTCGAAGACATCACCCGACAGGTAATGGAATTGCAATTACATTAACCACTTGTTTAACACTTGATTTGAATTGCAATCCAAGACATCCTTCGACTTGGAGGACAGGTATCCGGAGTTGTGGTACCATTTGAATGAAAGCGAATCGGATTTCAGTCTCATCGTCAACGGCCAGACACTGCCCGCAAACCGACGCCTTCTAATGGAGAGAAGTGTCGTTTTCAGAGAGATGGCGACGACGGCCCCGAAGATGAACGGTCTTAACTGTCATAACGTGTCTGTCGGTGCCGTCGAAACACTGCTCCGCTTTATGCTCACCGAACAGCTGGTCTTCGACGACGACAGTGACCTCCGAGTGATCGCCGACGCCCTCTGTTGTGCCCGAAGCTTTCGAGTGAACCGATTGGTCGACGCGATTGGCCGCCATTTGGTGCCTATGATAAGCGCCGACACCATTGAGACCATCGCAGAAATGGCGTTCAAGGATCGGATCCCAGGGCTAAAAGATGCGATCGACAACCGTTTGGACGAACTTTTGACCGTCGATAATGTACTCTCAATCTCTCGGTTTAGCCACGAATGTGAACCGCCGTCCGACAGATTCGTGTCGACTTTGCGGGCATTTCTTATGAGAAACTTTGACCGAATGCTCGCCAAAGACGCCAATGACTTCAAGGCAACGAACGGCGCGACCAAACAGTTATGGATCGATGTATTGCATGAGAGAAACAAAAGTGGTCTCCCATTCACTCAAGACGTTCACACTTTGCCCAACACTTTGTCATCCGATGAGAAGCAGCCAATACTGAGTGACGATCACTTCACGGGTGGACACGAGTCGCCGCCGCCAGTGGCCAAAGATTCGGCCGCTAATGGATCCCAAGTACAGTTGTCTCAGTCGCAGTCAGCCATCGATGGTAACCCTCAACAGTCTGTAACGAAGAAGTTGCGGAAGAATTGCAAGAAAACAGATGAAAGCGAACCAAAGGCGAAGAGAATGGCCACAAGAAGTCAGAATACAAACTAATACAAGAGAATTGTTCAGTCATTTTGCAGTCAAACCATTTTACCAATTATTTTGTTGATTAAAAAATCCAAATCACTCTTTAGTTTGTCTTTTATTAGAATTAAAAATGTTTGCATAAAAACTCAATAAAGTATCACAACGTTTGACACATGTTTTAGCGTTTTTATTATACATTTCATATGATTAACAATAATTAGTTGCCATTCAATTGCTATACATAAACAGTATACTTAATTTCATACATTTGTTACACTTAATTACATACAAACAAAATTTTTAATTAAATGTACAGAATTTACATGATATAACATTTTGACACTTTATTAAACGTGATTTTTTAGCCATTATTTAATGTCATTCTTTTCGATCGCAAATCTCCTTAAGAAGTGGTGGAAAGAAGTCATTTTTCTTGGATATGACCGCGATTTTTGAGTTAATAGCTCTTAAATGTCTTAAATTATTGATTAAACCAATGTATTTGTCACACCATTCAGTGTCCGATCGATACTTTATTTGCAGATATCGTTTCAATAAATATAAATAAATATTCTGTTGATACCTATAATACCATCAAATGTATCATTAATTTCTAGATAATGTATTTAACTTGGTTTATGTCTCACTTGACGGTATCAGGATGGTTTAATTCCGGTCGAGTCGGATTGAATAGTATAATAGCAGCCAACTGTAATTGATTGATAGTAAGTTGTAAATAAAGTGTTTGAGTAAAACATTATAAATTAATTTTTATAATTACCAAATCCAGTAAACAAGTGTCTGATTCCCATTCACTTCCCATATATTGATAAAAATTATAATAATCATAATAAATACCATGTTGTGGCAATTGTTTGAAAAAGTCCATTTGTATGATATATGTATCATCATTTTCCTACAAAACAAATATCAAATTAACTTAAATGAACTTGATTTAACACATTTATCAACAGCTATCACAAATAAAAACTCACACTTTTTAGTCTCCAATACTGTTTATCGAAATTAAAATTCAAAATCATGTGTAAAATCCTAATCTCGAGTACAGAGTATTTAATCAAAACTAATTGATCGCTTTCGCAGACACTCGTGAATGCGTTTAAATGTTTACATAATTTCACTGTATTTTTGATATAAGTATTGCTTTGAGCGGTCATTACCCGCATTGCCTCATATATGTCGCCGACAAAGACCTGGACACTACTCGTCGACAATATGTCCAAATACTTGACCGCATTTATTAATTCAACAAATTTATTGCCCTCTAATTCATTGAATGTTATGCCATAAGCAGTGATGGGTCTTACGATGGATATCACTGATGATGACTGATATTTGTCTCTATCTCTACACGCGTTTGTCTTGTGATATATCGGTTCCAGTGCTGAACAAGTGTTGCTCAAGACATTGGTTTCAGCGGTCGTACTGTCGGCTTGTATTTTGTGTTTCTTTTTTCTGTTTTCTTCGATTAAAATTTTTCTTAGTTTGCGTTGAGTTTCAGAAAAAATTAAATCCTATGCGATAAACATTAAAACAAATATAAATGTATAAACAGTTTAAATATATTTTTCAATGTATTACTGAAGTCATTCCGACGGATAAACATTTATCCAAACGACACTTTTTGCATTGTTTTCGGTAATTCAACTCAATTTTACAATTTCCCCCTAAATAGCACTTAAAGTAGTCCTAAATCAGAGAGAGAGAGAGAGAGAGAGAGAGAGAGAGAGAGAGAATTAAAATAATTAAATAATACTTGATTTGAATTAAAAGTAACGCTTACCTCAGGTTTGAGGGCATATTTTCTGAAAAATGATTTACACGCCTCACAACTCATTACAGTAAAATGATAGCCTAAATGTGTTTATAATTAATATTAATTTAATTATATTATTTATTTATTTCTAATATAAATATCTGGTGATCGCACTCACCGCTGGCCCGTCCGTCACAAACCGCACAAATCATATTCTGGCCCTTCGTTGACATTTTTATTGGCGAATCTAATAATAAAAATTAAATTATATATAATATTTCAAACAAGTATTTAAAAATCAATATAAATACAACCATGTTATTATGTTAACATTAAATATTACCTGTAATCTAAAATGAATAATAAATATAAAAATGCAATATAACGTTAGCAACTTTTATATACCAGTACATTCAAGTGTGTGTGCACTGCACTAAAGTACAAATGATTATGCACCCATTTTTGTAAAAATACAAATTGTCAAGGATGTTTATTGAAAATCTAATTATGGTAATTTAATTATATGCTTTTAATTCATTAACCTCTAATTAAATTACGTGCATGGCCATTTTTACAACAAAACAGGTGTAATAACTTAATACAAAATGTCATTCGTGTATCAATTCATAATCAATAGCTTATTGACAATAGGAATATAAAGTTACCTGTACATTTACCTGCACTGTAGTACATTATTTCTATTGACTTTTATTGCAAGTAATGAATTAACTAATAAGTTATAAGTTTTCTCGGAACTCATTTAATCAAATTTATTTTTAAAAAAAGTTTGACTCAAATTAATGAATACACTTTACAGAGAACAAAATGAAACATGATTTAAAAATTATTTATTTCAACAATTTATTGTTACAAAAAAATTATTCAAGTAGAAAAATAACATCTATCTAGATTCTATCATGATGTATGTTGATTAGGATCCCGATTACATATCTCTTTCATTAGTGGCAATCTGTGGTCAATGTTATCGTCCAAACAATTGAGTGCTATTTTGTCGTTCAAAACATTCAGGTCTTTCAAAGTGGCTAAAAGTCTAAAGAATTTCTCTCTCGACATAATATCCGATCGATATTTCAATAGTAGATAGCGTTGAAGTAAATACATGTAAATGTGTTGTTGGTATCTGTTTATACATAATAATAATTATGGTAATTATTTAATTAGAATACATGTATAAATATTATTATAATAATACAAAAAGTAAAAGTACTATGAGTTAAATGTGTACTAAAATTAGATTAACTGTTAGAATCGACAAATACATTATTTGTAAAATGCAATTACTAGCATGTACTAATTTATTGGAAATTATGTAACATAGTAACTGTAAATAATTCTAATATTTTGTTATAAAAGTGCAAATATTATAAAATATATTTACAAAGTATATAATTAACTTACTTTATGATATCCCTATGCATTAGATTTGGTCGCTCGGGATTAAACAATACAATTGCAGTCAACTATAAAATAACAATTTATAAAAATTAATAAATTAAACATAAAATACAATCCAAACAATAATATAATACCAAATCAATGATAGTATTGTCTGAATCCCACTCTCGGCCCATATTTTGCAAATAATTTTTATGATTTTCATAAGTATTTCGTCGACTTCCCTTAAATAGATCCAAACGAATTAATCTAGATTCATTACTCTCCTACCAAAAACAGCACCAAGCACAAAATACAAAATTTACTATATAACAAAACACAAAACAAGCTAGCTATAAACTCACTGATATCACATTCCAGTATTGAGTATCGAAATCAAAATAGGCTATCATTCGCATTACGGCAATCTCTAGGGAGGCGTATTTGAGCAAGGTCAACTGGTCCGATTCGCACATGGTGGCGAACGTGGTCAACGATTTGGACATCTTCACCAGTTTGCGGGTCTCCTGATCGCAATTGCCCTGAAATATACGCCTCGCGTCCACAAAGTTCTCCACAATTGTTTGGCTCAACTGTAATGACGGGTATTTCAGGAATTGGATGGCGTTCTGGAGCTCCCAGAGGCGACTGCCCTCCACCTCGTTCAACGTGTTGCTATAGTCGGTGATGATTACGGGCGCCACCAGTCGCTGGACGGCCAACGCTTTGCAGGCCATGTCATCGGCGGTGTTGTTGTTATTGCCGCCGATGTATCTCTCGATGAGACCGATATTTGTGTCCGTGTTTTCCGTATTCATTGAATCGCTTTCCAGTCCGTCGAGCGATAGTCGAGCGTCCGTTGAGTTGGAGTTGCCGTCGGATGTGAGGCCAGCGGTGGTCGAGTCCACAGCACTTATCTCAGAGACAACGGCACTAAACTCTTTGGCCTTTTTGTCATTTTCTCGTTTTAGTTTCTTCTGCTCTCGAGAGTGAATGTATTCCTAATTAGATTTGAGAATATTTTAAATCATTATTAAATTTTTATAATGTTTTTAGGCTTTTAATTATAAATAATGTTAAGTAGAGAATGCATTACGGCTTTCATCCCGACTTCAAAGCACTTGTCGAGTCGACATCTCTTACAGAAAGTCCGGTTTAAGACATCGATAGTGCAATTGCCTCCCAAATAGCAACGCAATGGTTTCTGTGAGTATTGAATAATAATAGGTAACCATTGTTATCATGTAATTTAATTTATAACATGTTGTGGCAATTATAAGTTTAATGATTATACCTTCTTGAGGGCTGTCCTCCGAAAGAATGATTTACACGATTCACATGTTATGGCATCGAAATGAAAGCCTATTATTTGATTAACAAATAATAAATATATTATTGGAATGACTGTTTGACATAGATTTAATTTAAAGTATATTAATGATCTAGCATATTTATCATGTCACTCTAATTTTTAGTTATTGTAACAATAATTTATTTTAATATAATTAATTAAGACATACCTTACCATTAGCTTTATCGCCGCATATTAGACATGTTTTTGGTATTATTCTGGTATTGTTTGACATTTTTGTATTCATCTCATAATAGTTACCATTGAAATGAAAATGCAACAACAATCTTATAAGGTAAAACTTTATTCTATTGATCACTTAAATATTCACACAATTAATACCAATATTATAAAAATTATAATATTCAGTTTATATCAAATAAATAGCACATTCATTAAAAAACAATTATAAAATTCACATTAAGACGAGAATATAATACATGTTTGCACACAATTAGCGAAGCTATACCTGGCATATGATCTCAATAAATACTTTAATTGTGAAATTGGGTTCATTATTGAGTTAAATAACAACATATATCACAATTGTTAATAAACTCCACCTTTTTAGTTGTACAAAGATTATGGTAAAAAATTTTATTGCATTATAGATTAATACTCCATGTATAGAGTTTGTAACAGGCGCACATTTAATTAGCTTCAAGGTTTAATTGATTTTATATATTATTTTCACTGTAACGAATGATGATAAATGGTAAACATAGTAAACTAACATAGTTACAATCACTTAACACAATCTATACAGATATATTGATTTTGCCATTTACAGGTGATTTGCAAATACATTTCTTTTAACAAAGTGCATAAAGATTAAGTATCTAGTTGCTAGGTCTGATTGCACTAAGAATCTAAGCATAATCAAAATTGTCACAAATTGATCATGTTCAAATTGACATTAAAATTTAATCAAACATTGGTATTTGAATTCATTTTTAACATAAATACACAATTAATTAAAATATTTTAAATGATTAAATATAACTTTGTCTTATTTTCAATTATTTTATTTATAAGAAATCTGTATAATAAGAGAGAATTTTTTTGATTAACAAATTACACAATTTAAAGTAATATTTACCTACAAACAAAATAATTGATATAACATAAATATGTTATATTCGTCAAAATATATTTCACTAATTATTTAAAATGCAATGTTTTATTAAAAATAAGCAATATTTAATAAATTAATGTGCAATTTGAACACTAATGCCGTCATCAGTCATCCCTATTCACTATAAGTGATAAAAGTTATCGCAAAAAATAATAGATTAAACAAACTGTTGTGCAAATACTAGTGTCAAGTAAAGTATATAAAAAGGGTATTTATATGACATAATAATGACCTCATTTTGTCCCCGAATTGCTTACAGATAAATATTCTAAGAATATTCTATGGCTTTATAGTTATTATATAATATGAACCATAATTTGTCATTTAATCAAGGTAGTAAAATGTTTTTCATAAACTCCCACCATGTTTAATAAGTTATTAATAATAACAAATAATATATTTACAAAATTTAACTGCATTTAACTTAATCAATTTAGATTTTAAGTTAAACTTAGGAATAAAATCTGGATAATTTTATTATGTGTTCAATTTTAAAACACTATGAAAAGTAAAAAATGTTTGAATTTATTAGATTCTTAAATAAATTAAACAATTTGCGTTAAAATTATCATCTAGCGCACTAGATGTAACTAGATGCAACTAGATTCTACTACTGTACATTTTCAAGGCTATCTGTTCAGTAGTTATATTATTTATTGTTATACTGTATGAATTATATTATAAATCAAATAAATCAATGATAATGGCAATGAAAGTGATTGCTTAAAGTGTTTTTGTGCTCAAGTACAATTTCTGATAAAATGGCTATAGAATTAACCAAAATGAGATAGATAAATATAAAAGAACTAGAAACAATTACCATCATATCAAAAATATACATTTACTAACTTTTCTGATGGTAAGAAAAGTTTACAAACAAAATATATGATGCAATGTATGATGAAATACATGTGAGTGCGGGTCATCTGGGTTTAAATATAGAGCCCCCGCCTTACACTCCCTGTCCAATAGCACTCAATTATGCTGATGAGTGACGAAATATTGCAATTTAATCAGCACTATGGTGGTTTTACAAACATGGTTGATAAATAAACAATATGGCACAACATAAACATATACTAATTACCAATTTATTTAGCATTAATTATCACAATTGATATTCGGTTACATTCATGATTTAGACATTTTAAAATACACTTGTTTTGCAACAAAACAAAATGGTTAAATAGTAATATATATCAACACTATCAAGGTGTTTTGGTCGCTAATAACAATTAAAAAAATAGCCTTTAATTTGATTTAATTTGTAAAATGTATAAATAAATATTTAATAGAAGATGTGTAGAAAAAACAAACTTTATATACAATTAATTGGTCTTTAAATAAATTTTTTAATAAAACATTAATTTGCATATCGATAAGTATTTGTCCAAAACAATCAACAAACAGAATTAACTCATTTACAACGTGATAACTATTGGGCCATATTATGCATGGATGCGATGCGCATCTGAAGAGCCCGGCGCTGTTGATACTCCTGTTGCAGGCGCTGCGGCACCAGTTTCTCCTTCACGGTCTGACATAACAACACCTGACACTTGGCTTCCGAGCACTTGCGGGCGTGATATGTGCAAAGATTGGTCAATTGCTTGCATACGGTACAGTTGTTGATCGGAGTGCCCTTCCGGCGACACCCGAAGTAATGGCTGATCACACGCTTCAGCCGATGACACGTCGGCAGTCGACAGTTGGCGTCTCTGCAGCGACACGAGTGCTCCAGACTCTGGACACACCGTTGGATCGATTCCTGTACCTCTGTCTTCGACTGTTGCGACCGCTGGCCGTCGGCGGTCTCGCCATCGACGGTAACTCCGCCTTCAAATTGGAGACAATAAACAAGTTTTAGACAACAAACTAAACAATCGGTGAACAGATGTGTAAATACCGGTTACAGATTTGACCAGATCTTCGACCGCCTGTCTGTGCATCGGATGCCTGTGTCCGAGCCGTTCATAGCAGTCGCCGCACAGATCAAAGTCAGTGCATTCGCCGCAATGGTAGGCAATCTTCAGGAGTTGGGCTTTGCATTCGTTGCACGTGAAGACGAATCCGTCGCCGGGAGTGTTGTGTAACTCACACAACAGGACGAGACTGGAAAACTTGGCCCGTCTTAGGGTCGAGAACTCGTGATGATTGTCGCGACTGAACGTCAAGAAGGCGTCCCTCCCGTCCATGAGCTCGCAGTTGATCAGAGGGTCCGGATCTACGATCGGCGGCAGACGCTCGGCCGCCAATTGCGAGTGCAGCCGAACCACGAAGAATACATCCTTGTGTTTGTACATCATTGAGTGGATCCGTGCGCTCAACTCCTGCGCCGGCGATAACAGCCCTTTCCGGGGACTCGTGTTTTGTTTGCCGCAAGTCTTCTGTTTCTCTTTACTCTTCTTCGAGTTGTGTTTTTTGGTCGGCTTTTTGTTGTGAATTATAGCCACACTTTTAATAGTATCTAAAATTATAAACATGGTTGAGTTATATTCAAACATAGTTGACCAACACTATATAAACTAGTACAAACCAGTAGGCTTTTCATCATGGACATTAGCGGCGTCTGGATTATTGCCCTCAACCACATTCTTCGCGCTATCCATTTGTTGCTGTTTTTCTCTCTGGAGTTCAATATCTTTGAGCGAATCCTCCAAAAAATTTGGCCAAAAATCGCCTAAAATTTGCGACAAATTATATGTTTAACAAAATTCAAACAAAACACACGTAATCGTCGAGACATACCATCAAAGTATGGCATTTCTGCGGGAACCTGAAGATTGTTACTCATCGTGTATTGGAGTATATCCTCGTAATCGAGAATAATGTGTTCAATAATACCTTTGTTTAACAACTTCTTATACCATTCCTGTAAGTGTTTCTGTTTTGGCACCTTTTGCTCCGTCGGGTGACAGTAAAACACATAATCGTCTCCTAAATAGACATCAAATTGAATCACACATTAAAAAACTTAATTATAAACAACTAATTAACTGAATATACCTTTGGCTGGAGGACAGGCCCAGATGTGGGCCATAGTATATCCCAATCCCTTCGCGTAATCCAAGTATCCGAGAACTATCTGCTGATAGATTGATGTCCGCAACTCTTTGGGACTGAAATAACGGACTGAATCCAAGTACGCGATGTAAACGCGCCTAAATGGGTGTATATATAACTTGGTAAATATTTCAATCAAGTGCTCAATTATTATACAATTACCTAGTGTTGGGAGCACTGGCTTGAGATCCGTATTCCTGGACATGCATACCGAAGAAGCAGACATCGGCGCCATCGATGGTCTGGAAAGCAAATATAGCTTTCGCTCGGTATGGGTATGAGTCGGACCACTGGTCAGTCTCGCCATATCTATTCAAAAACAAACAATTAAACCACAACTTAATGAAAGTGTTAATAATATTTACTTGGCTTTCATTAAGGGCTTTGTCTCAACAGTTTTATCAAAAGTGGACACAACTCGTATGGACACCGATTCGCCGCTACACTCACGAGAAGCCAAATATTTGCGGACTTTGTTTTCGATATAATCGCCGAGCTTTGTATTCGGCAGATCTGGTAATTACCATATTTTTGTGTCAATCAGTTAATCCATTTTAAATCAACTATTCATTCATTCATTTGCTTACTTTTGGCACAATATTTATGTTGTCTTCTAATACGAGTCTCTCGTCGAAGACAACCATCACATGTAAACCTAATCCACAATCCAATAGTCAATTAAATTTCATTCTTATTGATTAATGCAATCAATTAGTTCCGTACCCTTCGGGCGAAATGACATCGAGATGAAGGACACAGATCTGATGATACTTAAGACCACACTCTTTACACTCGATGAATGGCTCCTCAACCAGAGTATCGTTTCGACACTCAATGAATTCGGCTTTCGGTATGTTTTGTGTGGCGACGGCCGACGAGGACTCCCCTCCCAACTCGTCGCCAACTGTCACCACATTTCCCGTAATCTTTGCGAAACACTCCAAACAATATGTGTATCTATTGGACACAAACTCCACATTAAAAACAGGTCTTTACTATAAAATCACTTGAATTTACTTATTCTGATAACTCATATACAGAGCGTCCGTAGGAATTACGCACAGGTTTTGGCCAAAACAGGACAACACTTGTCGTTGAAATGCATATTTACCGCCACAACAATACCCTATGCTCTTCATCACCGCATGGATCTCCTCCTCAAATATCTTCGACAACTGAAAACAATAGATAATACAATACAAACCATTAACCAAATATATCATACAATTAGTTGTTAATGAAAAACATTGCATACTTTAGTGCAGTACTTATAGACCACCGAAGACTTCCTGTTGTAGATCCAGGCGTTTTCAAACATGAGCCACACGTCGTCGATGTACTGCCACGGGTCGGCGTATTGGCCTAAATGGTGATAATGAATGTCACTTAAGTCTTATAGTGTATAGTGTTTTATACCCGGACTCCAGAGATAATTAACCACAACATCAGAGAGCTATTCATCACTCACTACCCGACCTCCCGGACAGCCCCTACAAACCCCTGCGCTATCAACTGATTGACTGTTTTTTCGCCATCAAAGCAAAGAAAAAGGAGATAAAGTTTTTATAAAAATATTTAATTTATTATTTAATTTTCGTAATTATTTCTTTAATTATAATAAAAATCGACAAAAAATAAATACTGGATAACAAAAAAACACATCGATATTTGAGATCAAAAATAAGACACAAAAATATTGCATTCAATGGTAAGAAAATTAAATATAAGAAAAATCTTTGATTGATTGACAAACAGAGAGGGAATTGACTTGTTTTTTGTTACTATCACTGGTAAATGGCATACAAATGGCCATCAATTTGTGCGACCATTTAAACTCTCATCATTAGACATACCGGTGTCCAGTTTGGTCTTAATGGTCAACAGATCCATTGGCTCTTTGATGATACGCGGATAGTCCGGATTCATCGCAGTGTCCACCGGTTCTCTGAAAGGTATCGCTTCGGGCACTTGTGAGGCCATCTTAAGCAGTGTCGGCGTTAGAGTGGCCCGCAGTTCGTCCGCTCTGAACACTCTTTTCTGCTGCGGAACCGATTGCTTGCGGACCGTCTGCACCGACGATGGACTGGCATCCGGTGCCGGAGGGCTAACATCTGGCTTCACATCGACAGACTCTTTGCCAGAGGCCACCGATTTCGCTATCGGCTCTGTTGTCTCGCTTTCATTTGCATCCATATCTGTAATCCCGGGCTCTTTCTTCACTTCAATGGTCTCGGAGTCGGTATTCTTAGGTTCGACAGTCTTGTCGGCAATTGAAGGCCAGTGTTGGGTATCATTAACTGATGAGACAGAAGTCGCTATCACTGGAGGCGCGGCGGCTGTGAGCGAAGATTCATAATGTTTGGTCGCAATGTTTGATTGCATATAATAGTTGTGACCCGAGTCGGGCCGGACTGCCGACAAACTCGCACTGATTGGCACCGATTGCGGGGCGTTTGGCTGCGAGGGACCGGTTGTCGACCATTCATAGGCCAATTTATTATCATTAAGGCTAATATTGTTGTTATTATCGATATTATTAATGTTAGGTTTGAGCTCCTGAGCACTCGGAGGTCGAACTGATTGGACGTACGAGTCGTTGAAATACTTCTGCGACAACTGACTAGTGGTTTGTTGTTGACTAAACTGAGTGTCCGAAACGGGTAACTGTTGGCCACCGGTAGTGAACTGTTGGCCCGTGGCTTGCATTTCGTGATATACGGGCGCCAAATGATGATCACTTTGAGAGGCGATCACATTATTCTTGTCGATCTGTTTCTGTCGCCACAGAATCGCCAACTCTTTCTTCACTTGAAATATCTTCTGCGCCACCAAATTGTAGTATTCCTCCTGAGTATTGGCCGCTCTATACACAAAGCCCTCGATCTTCTTCGCCAACATAATCACTGATGCCATTCGCCTGTCTTGACGGACATTGGCGTCGCTTATGGGCAAAATTTGATCCACAATTTTGCCAATCAAACGCTGTCGAGAATCCAGACCAACAAAACGATGCCAGTCTTTCACCAGCGGTTCCGATGGATTCATTGGCGACGAAGAGATCGGCGATTGAGATGTCATAGAATTAATAGTTGTCTGATATGATGGCGGATGTGTGGTATGTATGGGCTGTTGGTGTCCAACAAATTGCTGATTCAGTTGCCCAATGGCTGGAAGTGGTGATTGCATCGATGATATCGGTGGCACTTGCGCTGCGTTTGGCATCAATTGTGGCGAATGATGTGTGGGGAGATTTCTGTCGTCACCCTATCGGACACACAAACATCGGATCAGTTAAACAACAATTCAATCAATACAAGTGATCAATACCTGGTGTGTCAACGATTGGACGTGTCTTCGCTGCGACGCCTGCTTAAGAGGCGAACACACGGGACAGTCGGCTCGGGTGCAGGACTTCCAGTGAGTGATGATTACGCGAGAGCTGTGACAATGAGATACTTTGCAGGCGGCGCCTAAACCGAGAGTCGACAAAACCAATTAACAATGTAAATTAAGAGCAAACTTCTTAAGATAATCACTTACCGGCGGAACAACCGGCCAAATGGTTGATCACATTCTTCATAGTGCGACAGTGCGGTAGTGAACAAGCGGTGGGTATTTCGCCGATCTGTCGCTCCCTTTGCTGGCATTTGTGTGCGTGAAGAATGAGAACCAATTGTTCCAGAATTGATCTGTGCTTTGGTTTGTCTTTAAGCTCGTCGTTGGAGACCGTTGTCGGCACCGATGGCAGCGGCGGAGGTAATGGCGGCGAGAATGTGGGAGGGGTTGGCGGCGCGGCCACAGCTGACTTAGCCATCTGTGACCAATAGCTCTCATCCTGTAGTTTGCGTTTCGCTTGCCATCGATTGGGAACTGCGGGCGTCTGAAGAGGCGCCGCACTTGTCTGATGACTCATCTGCGGCTGAAGAGGCTGTGATTCTGTCTGATAACTAACGTGTGGCTGCAGAACAGGTGCTGTCAACTGATTGACTGGCGGTGACGGCAGATGTTGTGATGGATATTGCGGTTGGAGTTCATGTGACGGGTAGTGTTGATGAATGCCATGCGCTCTGGGATTGTAGTACTGGTGATCGGGAACCGAATACGCGTTGACTTTCGGCCCGTAAGACCACTGTTGGGGCTGTTGTTGATGACTAGTGTCGGTGACGTAGGACTGGTGGTAGTATTGGTCGATGTGTTGATGATTATTGACTGGATATACGTATTGCTGCGCCGATGGCGTGACTGTCGTCGTTGTCGTCGACGCATACGTTGTGTGACTGTCTGTCCACTGATTGGACGTCTGGTACGCGGAGGCGGACGTATTGGCGGCCATCGCGTCGTTGGACAACTCGTCGGGCAATTCTGGCAACTGATCCATGAAATTGGATATACTGTCCGTCGAGACGCTTGGTTTGAATCGTTTGGCGGCCGAGAAGTGACCGGCGGTCCACTCGTCCGTCCCATCGTTAGCCCACTGCTCGTCATCGGCGGTGAAGGCGTGCGGGCCAGCGGTTCCAGTGTTATTATTAATCACGTGATCGTTCATTAGTGAATACCTCAATGTCTTTCAATGACTTTTCAATTATTCAATTAATGTTAAGTAAAAATTTCATGTCATAAGAGAAACAACTTTTAATTTTCTTCTTCTTTATGGAAATATCGTTTCGTTTTCTTCTTCTTCTTCTTTGGGATCCAATAATAACTTCAAACTTCAATTCATATGCAATTCATCACTCAATTCATCATAAGATATGGTCTGTGAATGAGTTGTCAATTAATACATGTATTAAGTGGTGATGTATTTCAAGATCACAGGCAAGCGATGGACGCGAAGAGTTATCCGCCAATTGTTTAGCAGATATTATCACCAATTGTTTGGTCTCTGAAATAATGAAAGCAAAAAGTTTTTTTTCAATGGAAAAAATGTGCACAAAATAAGTCACTTTTTAATGTCTGGATATTATTATATTTGTATTGATTTTTTCAGCACATATTATGCGAGACATGAATGCCATACAAACAGTTGTGTTGTCAATGCATTAGTTTCGATGCGATTTTGCGTGACTTTTAATTAAATTATGTTAAATATATAATATATAAACTTTTTGCTTTTTTATAATGTGATCAAAAACTCATTATAGCATTACATGTAAAATATATTTCATATGCTTTTCTATGAGACAGACACTGAGAGAGTCAACGCAATGCATACATACGTAACGTAAACGCAATGCAATGCTATGGGAGAGAGAAAATACTTGACAACAAAACTGTATATTAAATCACTTTTAAATAAAACTTTTTGCACTAAAACTTTATTTTCTCGCATATAATATATTACATAACAATGAGATATAGATATCTCTATAACGAGAAATACATTAGAAAAATAAAGTGAAAAATCATATCACAAAATATAAAGTAACAAAAAATAATAAAAATAATGCAAAAAACTTTGACAAACTTTTTCTCCGTTCACTACTCCTATCGCTGAACGACTACTGAATGACGAGCTTTTATGAGACGACCCGTCCTTTTATAAACACCACTGCCTTTCATACACAGGCAATGCCAGAGACATCCAGCGCTCACTACACTATTCCCCTGTTTTATAACCACCTGTTGATTTAAATACGACGTAAAAATATCAAACAGGTCTAAATCATTTCTTCACTTAATGTAATAATACAACCAATTATTTAATATTACATATAATTTAAGGTTAATAACTAAAAAAAATAATTGCCATAGATTGTAATTAATATAGATTAATATATAACTCCTTTAAAAATTATAATAGATATAAATACAGATTAAATGGGATTAACTATTAAATAGGCACACTTTAAGACATTATTTATTGCTTATAAATTATAAGACTTTGCAATGATTTCTGATATTAAATTGCAATAAAATCCTAATTGTAATTGTATTACATTTGGCAAAATATTGTCTATTTTAAGCCTATAAAATTGGATATTTAGTATTAGTTTAGTGCTAAAAATGTACGCATAAAATAAACGCTCACAAGCAAGTTCATAAAATAGGAATAATTTTAGTATTACACTTAATGGCGGTGAATATAAATTTTCAAGTTTGTTCATAACAACCGATGAGTCCGTAAAACCGGGAATAGCGTAAAGATATCAAATGCACTCTCAATGCCTATAATACTGCACACACTTCAGGCAAACACCTGTGCATTGAAACCGCATTGAAAACTATTGCGTCAAAAAGTGTGGCAATCGTTGCTTATATTCGCACAACAATTACGTAAACAATTGCAATGCAATGCTTTCTAATGGGAAAACTCGCGTCGATTTAAAAAGCATTGCATTTAATGTTTGGCCAATAATAGCGACACTTATTTCGGTCACAATTAGCGGCCAATTGTGACCACAGATTGCGATTCAAAACAACACATGTATTGACACAAGTGTTTAGTCGTAAATGTTTAGTGAACTCATCGTCCGCTTCATCGCCACTGTATTGAATGCTTTGAGACATGCGTTCACCACAACCTCCACAACAGTAACCACAACAACAACAACCGAAGACAAACCGCAACCAATCGCGTCATCACCTGTTGGATCAGCTGTCACTTCGTCGCCCATTGGTGTCCATCGCTGGACACAGAGGAAGACGACATCGATGGACGTGACGAGACATAACTTCGTGCAGACGCTGCGCGAGTTGGACGCCGTGGTCGCCGGCGCAGACTTCACGGCCATCGACACCGAGTTGAGTGGCTTAAGACGTTTGGACACGAAATCGTTGCATTTGTTGGACACGTGTGACGAGCGGTACTCCAAACTCAGGCAGAGTATCGCCGGCTTTAGTCTCATTCAGTTTGGTTTGTCGTGCTTTAAGCACGTGGTGGACGACAGCGCCGATGGATCAGCTGATGGTCAGCACCGATACGTCTGTCATTCGTATAACTTCTATATATTTCCGCAAAAGTCGTCGATTAACAAAGCGATGGGCGATCGGGTGTTCGCCGTCCAGACCTCGTCCCTCCAGTTCTTGGCCTCCAATGGCTTCGACTTCAATAAACTCATTATCGACGGCATATCGTATATGAATGACGCCGAAGAGAAGCTCTGTGTGGACACCATCGAGAGTCAGAAGCAGGCGAAGGCCGCCCACAACGCCTCCACTGACTCCTCCTCTTCAGTGAAGTCATCGCCGGCCGCGTCGGCGCTCACCGACGAAGACCGCCAATTCGTGGACGACGTGATGGCCAAAGTGACCGACTTCTTGGCCGACACCGACCGCCAGACCATTGATCTGCAGCCGTGCAACGCATTCAAGCGGCGGCTGATCTACGAGTGTCTGAAGGGACAGGCGTTCAGCGACTCACTCGACATCAAGACAGTGCTGGTGTCGCAGACGTCGAGCGATCGATACATATCTGTCAGTAAAGTGGATAAACTGGTGAAAGAGGCCAAAGACGAAGAGTTGCTGACCGAAGCCGTGGGCTTCTCGAAAGTGATACAACTGTTGATCCGACACCAGAAGCCAGTGGTCGGCCATAACGTGCTGTTGGATTTGATGCACACATTCAACCAATTCATTGAACCCCTTCCCGCCGACTACAAGACATTCCGAGCGCTGATCCACGCCCTGTTCCCCACCGTATACGACACCAAACACATGTCTTCCTCGCCGGCCTTCAAAGAGCGGGTCGAGAACACGGCTTTAGGCGATCTGTACGAGCGGTTGAAGACCGAGCCCTTCGAGCCGATCCGCGTTGAGCTGAAGAATGGTGTCCACAGCGACGGCAAAGCCCTACACGAAGCCGGCTATGACTCGTACGTGACGGGCGTGTGTTTCGCGGGTCTCGTCCACTATTTGGGCGCACAATTGTCGCCAAAAGTGCGGCGATTGGATGAACTACTGTTCGCTGATTACCGGAACCGTCTGTTCCTGACGTACAGCCATGACATCCATCACTTGAATCTGGAGCGCGAAGAGCCGACTCCTGAGCGGCAACACGTCTTCCACGTGACGTTCCCGAAGGAGTGGCGCACCACTGAGTTGTATCACCTGTTCTCGGCGTTTGGCGGTGTGGCCATCGGTTGGCTCAACGAGACCAGCGCTCTATGCGCTCTCAAAGACCCGACACAAGCGGACAAAATACGCAAATCACTGCTCAAACAGTCGACAAACACCACCTATAAAGTGATATCGTATAAAGATTTTGTGGCCAAAACTAATTCATCTCAAACGCCAACCATTACTAACACTTCTACGACAACTACTACTACACCTCTGGTGACTAGTGATGACACCGGCGGAGCCAGAGATCACGCGAAACGCCAATCAAAGTCCAGAGCGTCGCCGCTATCGACACCCAATCCCCACAAAAAGACTAAAGTGGTTGACGGCCGCAACGGAAGCGCTGCCGACAGTAAAGGGTCACCAAAAGCGACCAAATCGGAGGCCAAAGCGAAACTGTTTGAAGAGCCCGCCGATTGGGAGGCGGAACCCAATTGAAGCACACTTTTATATTGTAGTTATAGTTTTGTGTGAAACAAATTTCTGTGTACTCTTCGGGCCATTAAAGCCATTATTTTGTGTTTGTTTTTCACATCAATCATAATATTGTTACACAAAATATAAGACAATTTATTAGTTTAAAAACAATTTATATTTTTATGAATCGTCTCTTGTTTTTTATATACAATTATTTGGTATATACTTTTTGAAACACGTATAATAAGCTGATAAATATGAAAATTAAATACCAGCGCTGAATGTGTGGCCATTATTTTTTTCAAGTGTATCGGTGGCTATACTTGAGCACCGGTTGTGTCATCACAGGTGCCGGTGATGGCATTTTGGGGCAAATCGTAGATCTCTTTGAGTAGTGGCGTAAAGCTATGGGGTATGCATTCGTGGACTCTCTGGTAATAACTTTTGCACAGCACTCGCAACTCAACCAATAGGTTCATCAGTTGCACAAACTTCTGATCGGACACCCATTGGGACCCGTATTTGTTTTGCAGATAACGTCTCAGTAGATATATGTAGACATTTCGTTGGCATCTAATTAGCAATTAATATAAATTTAATGGTTAACAATGACATACACTTTGTATTTTAATTTAAAACTATAGACAATCACTTACTTTATAATACTTCTGTGATTAAGATTATTCCGATTCGGATTGAATAGTATTATCGCTGTTAACTGTTTTTAATTGAAATAAATGTAATTATTATAATCACATAATTAAAAGCGATTTTAAATTCATTATACCGTATTCTGTCACATAAACGCCCATGGGGTATTATGTAAGTTTCTCAGAGAGGGTGGGGGCTTACATAGGTAATACCCCATGCTGTTTTGACTCAAAAAACGAGTTAAATGTGAAAAGTTTAATTAAAAAGATAGTCTTGTTTTAAAATACTAAAACATTATTAGAGATGATTAAATGTGTTTTAAATAGAAATTGTTTTAATTGAAATCTATATTTAATCACTGAATTTTATAAATAAATGTATTCATTGCTATTAATATGAGATATCAACCCATGGGGGATTATGTAAGTTCCTTAGAGAGGGTGGGGGCTTACCTAGGTAATACCCCATGCTATTTTGAAGTGTACCCGAGTCAGAGACCCCTCATTTAATACCCCATGGGCGTTTATGTGACAGAATACGGTAATAACTATGTTTACCAAGTCTTGTATAATGGGATCCAAATCGTATTCATGTGTTATTCGTTGGGCGTAACCTCTGATGGAACTGTTAAAGTCATCCATCGATGAATCAAACAATTCATACTTAACTATCGTTGAGGTGTTGTTATCCTATTTGTTAAATATAATTAAAAATTATTAATTTTTGTTTTCATTTAACAGATTGTATTGATTACAAGAGTAATGACGAAGAAATCTGTGCCATAATTGATGCCATTGTTGAGCCGAAAGAAGACAATCTCTGGGGCGCCGTATTTGATGAGTTGGAGCCTATCTTCTTCGCAGATGCCGTTGAAATCATTGAGTCTTTGCGACAGTTTGATCACTTTTTGCACCTCTTCCTCCATTTTGGTGGAAAACACTTGACATACTTCTAGAAGACCCGACGCTTCCGACTCGAGCGCCAACCCTTTGGGCCGTTTCATGACCGCCGACGCGCTCAACAAATTGCTTAACTTCTTGGCCTCCAATTCATTGAATGTGCGATTGTTGTCGACAACGGGTCTGTCGATGGAAACAATTGACAACATAAAAGTGGTCGTCTTCTCTAACCCTATGTATGGCGTAATGTCTTGTGTGATGTCATTGTTATCGATTGTGTCACTACTTTCCTGACTGTTATCAGTATTGCCATCGCTCTGACTGTTGTCTTCAAAGGCCACATCAGCTGATCGTTTAGTACCGGTGGTCGAGTCGACCACATTTTCGATCCCATTGTCTTCGGTCTCTTTGAACTCTCCTTTTCTTGATTTAATCCGCTTTTGTCTCAACTCTTTCTCATTGTCTGTCAGAAGACATCCCTTTTGGGGAAGAATTGAATTCAAAAAATTAAGTTTTCAAAAGACAATCGCTATTCATATGAGTTATACTTTTCTCATTCCTATCGCAAAACATTTCTCTAACCGACAAAAGCGACAGAATTTTCTGGTAATTAGATTTACATCACATTTGTTGTCGAAATGGCAGTGAAATTCCTGAATACCGTATAATTAGTTATAACTAGACTTAAAATTATTTGTAATTAATTTCAAATTCTGGTCCCAATTCTTACATCACTTCTGAACGCATTTCGTCTAAAGAAAGCCTTACAAGACTCACAGGAAAGGCCACCAAAATTTACGCCTAAATTATTTTTAAAATCATTTATTAATTATAATATTAATGATTTTAATTAATTACAATACAATACCGAGTGATTTGTCGCCGCAAACTAAGCATATTTTTGTCGCTTCCCTCTTATTATTCATTATAAATAACTTGTGGTTAAAACCTATTTATAACTTTCCTTTACATTCGCAGCCAATGTTTAAACAATTAATTAATAAATTATTAATAATAATCAATAAATATGTATTTAGGTATAAATAATTATTGTATTTATTATGTTAAATAAATTAAAACATTGTAATATTCAATACATTTATTAAAATAATAAAACATTTGCCATTATTAAATAAAATAGATTATCATTAAGGTAAGCTTAAATTGCATAGTACAATTCAATAATAATATGTTTGATTTTAGTGCACTGTGCACTCTAAGAGATTGCGTATTGTGCACATAATTATTAGGTTATTTTACAAAAACTTTTTACTTTTACCAAGGTCGTTTATGCATACAGGTAAACTATAACATTAAACAATTAGTTAATTTTAGATAATAATTAATAAATAACGTTAAATTTGCAAACAATAATTGTGTTAACCATTAAAACTACGAGAAATAGTTGATTATATCTTCGGACATAATCTCTTTGATGAGTTGAGTACAGCCTCTCCTCATCTCTACATCCGTTTCGTAATAATTTTGTTTATTTTTTAAATAAATTAAATTCAAATATTTTAAGGTATTTATGAGTCGCGAAAATTTTGATTCACAATCGGATCGATATCTTAATTGTAAATATCGTTGCAATAAATACTTGTATATGTTTTGCTGGAGTCTATTAATACATGCAGTAATTAGGTAGAAGTACATACCAATGATTCATTAATGATAACTTACCTAATTGAACTTTTATGTATAATCTTTGGTCGATCTGGGTTGAAGAGTACGATAGCTGTCAACTAAAATATTAAATATAGATTTACTAATTGATTTCATGTAATTAAGATATTTCAAGTACTGAATACAAACTTAATACCAAATCAAGAATAATTAAATCTGAATCCCATTCCCTGTGAATGAGCTGAAAATACCGATCGTATGCCTCAAACAAATACAGTTTCTCACTTTTAATGCCATTAAACTTAATGAGAATTGAATTGTCGTTATCCTAAACACAATATCATTACAATTTTAATAATAATTTTTAACTGTTATAAGTTTTACATTTTAAACATTCAATTATAAACAGTAATTGATTTACACATACGCTATGGATGGAGAGGTAGTGATTGGTGGAGTCATATCCCGTAAACTGTCTCAATGAACACAATTCAATTGATCCGTACTTCAGGAGAGCGATCTGATCGTTGGCGCAGATGGTGTTGAATCCGCGCAACATTTTGCACATTACGACCAGTCTTTGGACCAATTGTTCGGCATTTTTCACTATAGCGACCATTTCGTCCAAATATGTGTTTACTTCTGTGATTATTCTTCCGGAACTGATTTGTAATACATTTGTGGCATTCATTAATTCTCGCAGACAATTACCTTCTAATTCATTCATATTATTGTTATGGTCTGTTACGGGTCTTAATATAGTTATAATTTCGGTCATATCATCTGATGTGTGGTTATTATTAAACAAATCTATTTGAATAGTATCTTCAAAATCCAAATGTTGTTCAATCTGTTCACTGGATTTATCAGTAAATTCATTGTTAACCAAATCAGGAATAGTTATCATTCGCTTTCTTTTATTTTCTTGCATTTTGTTTATTCTCATAGCTTTCTGTTCACTATTGAATAATTTCTCCTGTTTTTGAAAAAATAAGATTTTAATTATTTTTAAAACATTAATTAATACAGACTTTTCTCATTCCCGATGCGAAACACTTATCGAGTCTACATTTTGGACAGAATCTCCGCTTTAATGCATTTATTTCACAGTTATTATTGTAATTGCATTTAAATTCCTATTCATTATAAATAGTAATTAGTATATTATTATTTTAACAAGATAAATATTTGGTTAAATTAATTGAATTATACTTTGTTTGTAATGGCATTTCTCTTGAAGAATGTCTTACACGACACACACGACATAACATTGAAATTATATCCTATTATTGATAGAAATTTTATGAATTTAATTTAAATTGTTATTTTATTTTAATTAATGTCATACCCCGAGCATTGTCTCCACAAACAGCACAAATCTTTAGGTATATAATTGTTGACATTATTGTTAATTATTAGTTTCGTAAATAATGAAAATATAATGAATTGTTAAATTATTTATTTATAATGAACATATACATTAAATACATTGAATAGTGTTTAATGTTCCAAGGACAATCTACAATCGTACTAGATTAAATTGGAGATATTGTATTTATTTAACTACTACAAAATATAAAAATTCTCAAATATTCTTTAAATATTCTAAAATACTTATACATTTTCACTGTAGAGAAAGACTACCTTAGATTTTAATTAATTAAATTAATGTTACAAATTATAACTTATTGTACACAATATAATATATAATTATTATGTTGTGTATATCTGCACTAAAATATTAATTGCTCAAGGGCAAACTATTGGCCAATGTAAGATATGTTATCATGTTTATCTAATTATTTAATTGTAATAAATTATTACTAACAATACAAAACAAAAATGATACAAGATGATTACAGGGTGCATGTACATAGGGTGCAAAATCAATTTTATCATTTGTAATACTTTAATATTCATATAAGTATTTACTGCATTAAATAATTTATTTTATATTATTAATACAACAGTATTAGTAAATTATAATAGTATAACATAAACTATAAATATAATCTATAAAAATTATTATAGATTCATTATTACAGTAATTTATTAAGATTTAAAATGATAAAAAATTTAACCAAAAATGATAATACGAACAACTACAATTTTAAACTACCAATTTGTTAAAGTTATAATTTATATTTAAAATAAAATTACTTATTGTGATTAAAAACGGAGATAAGTTAGTTCACAATAAATTTATAATGGCTTTGATAAATACATTTTTAATTATTAAATAATGATTTGATAAATAAAAGTAACTTTAAAAAACAATCCTCATCAAATATCAATTACCAATTAATTGGCAATTATACAATACAATTATTATAAAGTACTTGAAATTTAAAATATTAAAACTAATAGAATGTCATTATTTAAAATTATTAAAACAATAATTATATGATTATAACTGAAATGGTTTAGAGTTTGTTATTTCAAAGATCTCCCGAAACAAAGGACCCAAATATTTGGGCTGACGTTCAATAAAATCTTCGGTTATTTTGTCGTTCAAAACATGTAATAACTGTAGACAACAGACCAGTTGTCGGAGTCTTGATTTCACTTCACTTTCCGACCGGTATTTCAATAGTAAATAGCGTTGAAGTAAATGAAAATAAATCCATCGCTTGTATCTAAACATAACAATTAATAATTAGACAAAACATTACTAAATCAAAACTCAATCACATCTCACTTCACGACTTCCCTATGCTTTAGTTGGGATCGATAGGGATTGAAGAGCAGTATCGCTGTTACCTAATTATAAAACACACAATCCATTACTTCAATAAAATACTTGAAATAATTAAAACATTTAATTAATTACAAACCAAATCCATAATAATTGGATCAAAATCCCAAAGAAACAGAAAGTTTACTAAAAAATCTCGAAACGCATAATAAACAATCGGTCGACTCTCCTCTATTAGCTTTAGATCAATTACATGTGTATAATCATTGCCCTAAAAATAACAAAGGTAAAATATCTTGCAATATAACAATTATTATATTAAATGCTCACAGAATTAGCGTTGAGACACATATTCATGAAATCATAGGCCGGTGTCTGTCGAAGGCAACTCATTTCAACGCATCCATACTTGACGAGCGCTATTTGATCATCGCTGCAGACATCAGTGAATGGTGTTAATAGTGTGGACATATGGATCAGCTTATGGGTGATCAGCTCCCAGTCATTGACCACAGCTCCGAGTGCCTCGTAATGGCCGACATTAACAGCAATTATTTCCGGTTTTTCCGACCATATATTCAGACCGTTTGTCGCGTATATTAATTCACTAATCCTTAAGCCCTCGCTTTCGGTCAGATTATTGTTATAATCAGCGATGGGTCGGCATATTTGTAAAACATTTGATTCAGTATTTTCTATGACAATTGAATGACTATTAAATTAAGTTAGTATCCGAGTTATTATAATTATTACTTACTAACCTATCATTGTTTGAATGCATGTTTCTATCAAATGTAATGATGGTATTTTTGTGACTCCCATGTATTGACGTGTCCGAGAAATTGCTGTTTAGCATTGGTTTTAATTTCTATAAATTTTTATTTTAATATAATTATTTAGTTAAAATTTAATTAGTTTAAATATTATTTTTAATTAATACACACTTTTCTCATACCGACTGCCAAACATTTTTTTAATCGGCATTTTTGGCAAAACTTTCGGTTTGTAGTGTTTATATCGCAGTTATCATTATAATAGCAGTTGTAATCCTATTGAGAAACAAGAATAAGATTAACTTTTTAATATAATTTTTAAAATTTTAATATTTTTATATAAATACAGTATAACAAATTATTTCATTTACTTTGTACAATATTATTTTACCTTATTTATTTTAGCATTTCTTTTGAAAAACGATTTGCATGATATGCAGGTGAATACAGAGTAATTCTTGCCTATAATTACCGTTTGTATGGAAAATACAATTATTAAATAAACTTTATTAAAAATAAATATTAATACCGATTGCCTTATCACCACAAATCACACATTTTTGTCCATCATCCATTAATTAGAGTAAATAGTATACAATCACTATTAGTAGATATTATTCTTAATACCTGTTGTTATCGTAAATACAGAATAAGTTACATATTCTCAATCTATAAGCAAACTATTAAATTGGTTTCTAAGACAACATAAAAAACAATATGATATTAATTAGTGCAATGCTGAGTTCGCAGTGCACTTAAAATAACCTCGATGTATTTTCTTCAAATCAACACCCGATGTGAAGTGTAAATTTTTCACACAATAATAAACATATGAATTAATTATTTCACTATTTATTAAACGTTAAGATAATGATTGATTACAAGCCCCCAAAGTATAGATTTATCCGATTTAAGTACATCGAGGTCTATCTTTGAGGTCTATCCGTTGGTAATTGATTAACAGTACATTTTATTTAATCCCTGATTAGTTTTGTGACACCAAGTGTATAATTCAATAAATATAATAATTTATTAGTAATTTACCTTAGTAATAAGGTTTTTTGTCTTATCTAATTAAGCATAACACTATTTTCAATTTGTGGTTCAATGTAAAGGGACATGCCCTAATGTCCTAAAATGATCAGGCACATTTTGAGTATACATTTAGATAAATGAAAGTTAGTTGTGAAATATAAAACACAATTCAAAATGTAAGATATATCAAGTTATTACACAAAAGTACGATAAAGACTTGGTAAACAAGATATATCTCTATGTTTAACACATGCCTTACATATTAAATTGGCAAAGTTTACAAAAATAACAAATAGTTTTAATTCAATAAAATTCAGTTAATTTAATATACAATGTAACAAGAAAATTAAATGCAATATATTATACAATATTAATAATTAATCTCGATTACATATCTCTTTAAAAAGTGGCACAAAATTCAAGTCAATACGTTTGGCAAACATTGCGATCTTATCGCTAATTATATTGAGATACTTTAAATTGTGAGTGAGCTTGCACAATCGGGACACTGACTCCGATTCTGATTGGTACTTTATTTGCAAATAGCGTCTCAATAAATGTATGTAAATATTCTGTTGGTGTCTGTATTTGTGTGATATAGGCATATAGATAATTAACTGGGTAACTTTTATTATAGGTCTAAATAAAAACTCACCTAATTACATCTTTGTGGATTAGATTCGGTCGGTTTGGCGTGAATAGTATAATCGCGGTTAACTGTATGTTAGAAATACACATGTTAGTATATATTTTCACAATAAGAACATTTAAACTTAAACATCTAGTACATTTGATCTATTCCAAGCTTCTAGTTTTTTAATCAAAAAAGCTTTCACTGTATTGTTGCTATACTTTTATATCTGTCATTAATACAGTGAAAGTTATTTAAAATTTTATATAATAAACTATATTAAGCAATAATTTTTGGTAAATAATTTAATACAAACCAAATCTATCGTAATTGTATCGAAATCCCAATCTTGTGCCATATTTTTAATGAAGCTTTTGTGGTAAAAATAAGTGCCATTAGTTGTGGAAGAAACGGGATTTTGTTTAAACAAATTCAGTTTTATTAGATGTGATCTATTATTCTGTTAAAAAGTATATTAGAAAAGTTTTAGATTTTATTGTAAACACAAAATAATTTTTTCAAAACTCACAGCAATTATATCCCAATATTTGCCCTCAAAATTAAAGCACATAATCATCCGTAAGATCTCGATCTCAAACGCCGAGTACTTAATCAAAACGATTTGATCGTTTTCGCAGACACTGTTGAATCCGTGCAAACATTTAGACATTTGTACAATATTTTTGATGTCCTGATCGTATCGATAGATAGTTATATTCAACGCTTCCCTATAGTCGTCAACAAACATGCGATCGTTTGGCTGAACGACCGATACGTTCATGCATTTCAAACCAATCATCAATTCATTAAACCAATTGCTTTCAATTTCGGTAAACATGTGGTTGTAATCAATTATGTGTTGATCTATAGGTGTGACTGCGGTCTCAGATTCATTCATATCATTGCTATTATCCATAACATAGCTTTCAATTTCGTTTATTTGCGATTCAATCGCTTCATTACTTATGCTATCGTTTTCAAGAATTTCACACAAAATGTCATCGTTTTTATTTGCAAGACATTTGTTGTCCATTGGATGCGGGCTTTCGGTCGGAGAGATCATGGATTCATTGCTATATAAATTATTTTGTGTCTCCGATAACAATGACTTAAATTGTAAATCACTTTTTAATCTTTTCCTACAATTCTTTCTCAAACTTTTCTCCTCTTCTGTTTGAATGTTTTCCTATAGTTTTATATCAAATATTATAACATTGTTTTTGCATAAATTACAAAGTTTTTACAGCATTTTAATACCTTTTTCATTCCGGTGGCAAAACATTTGTCTAATCGACATCTTTGACAAAATTTTCTGCTCGTTCTGTCGATTATGCAGTTATTATTGAAATAACACTTAAAATTCTGTTGAAATTAAGCAAAATTATGTAAGAAAATTGGTTCAAACGATTGCAAACCTATATATCTATCACTTACTCTATCATTCAAAGCATATCTACGAAAAAATGTTTTACAGGACACACACGTCAATACAGAATAATTGTTGCCTATTATATAATAAACAGAATTCAATAAATATAGGTTAATTAGTTATTGAATATGTGTTAAATTACTACCTATAGCTTTATCGCCACAAACGGCACATTTGGCTCCGAAATACATGTCAATACAATCGATGCCCTAATCGTATTGAAATAAAATAACAACTTTTCGCAACTATTTATATTCTTCGTGAGAATTATAACACAAACTTTTAACACAGTCTTAATAATAGATAATATATATTTTAGCACATTTAGTGTTGGGCATATCGATCAATATATAATTGATTTGATTATTAAATGTTTCTAAGACAACATTCAATTAGAGAAAGTTAGCAAAAAGTTCTTACATTAATAATTATTATAGTCTTTAAAGCCTATCAGTAATGATATACAGGTATGAATTAAATAATTATATAATCATAAGAATATAACTTTTAATTAATAATACAAATAATTATTGATTAAATTCCTCTAGAGACTGTTTGCCTGAATGATCGACAAAATAAAAGTTAACTCTTTATATACAATGTGTTTGTTTTGAATTTTCTATGAAAACAGTTGCTGTTTATGTAATTATGTAACTAATTTGTTTTGATTGTCTAATTAAAGAATCAAACATGTTAGGATTTCCTGTTTTTTAACAACAATAAATACATGATTTATAAATTGCAATTTTTAAATAAACAAACATGTTAATTAATAAAAAATGCAATATAGATAATTAATTAATCAAGGCTCATACACGTACCCTAGCATACGTTTATCATTGGACATAGAGTGCAGCTCAAACATAGACATAGAATCGAACTATTACTTAAAGTTTATTGATTAAACACTATTATCTAGATAAATTATGGAATAATAGAATCCGGTTTTAGCACATTTACATTTATTAATAGATTAATACCAGTTGTATTAGTTATTGTTAATTAATTACAAAATGTTACTAAAAATATTACATTGACGTAGATTTAAATGTTTAATTACAATATATTTAACATAAATAGCTTTAGTCTATAATAGAAAAACAATGACGAAGGTAAACCGGTGTTTTCCTAAATGTGTCTGGTGTTTGTTTATACAAAATCTATTTTTATCATTTTAAAATATGTAAACACTTAGCACGTAATCACAGGAATTTCAAACGAGGTAAATATTATCTGTAACATGTACTACCGGTTTTATAATCGATATGCTTATAAATAATTGAAAAATGTTGCCTTATTTGTGTGTAATTTACTTAAATTATACAATGAATAAAATATGTAAAAAATTAATTATGTTTTATAAGTGATGGTGATTTGCATTATTGTGTGAATTACTGGCATCGATATCATAGAGTTCTTCAATAATTGGTGGCATTTTTATGGACCTCTCTTTCAGCGATTGTTTTACGAGATCTCTGTTTATAATACTGTCTAACATTTGAAAACTATCCAAAATTCTGGCGATTCTTATCGTTATCTCAGATTCCGATCGATATCTTAATAGAAGATAGTGTTGCAGTAAATGCATGTAAATTCTCCGCTCAAACCTATTAAAGCAATTAAAATAATTTTAATTAATATTATTATTATTAATAAATAAATAAATGGTAATGTTATTCCAGTAATATAGGAATTAAAAATAGTATTTTAAGTACATTAGTTATATTTTTAAATTATGTAATCTCTTTTAGTAGTGTTTAGTTATTTTTCTATTGTATTAGTTATCAATATTTTTTTCTTATTGTATAGAGTTTTGTATTTAATATTGGTGTACGTCTAGAAAAATATACTGTATTTAAATACGCGAGTTAGAGATCTTATAAAGTGTAATTTATTTTGTTTTAGGTAGCTTGCTATTTATTATTAATTATTTATGTACGAAATTTTTAGTGTAAGTTATTTTTAATGAATGTGCTTATTAATTGCTTAAAATTGACTAAAATTATTAAACATTTATATAACGTAAATAATGTATTTGTAGTGTTATGTCTATTTGTAAAGTTTTTTATTTGTATAATTTAGTGCTATTTATTTACCCAGATGACCTGTTAGATAAATTAATAAAGTATACTCACAAATGATAATTGTGAATAATTATCAATATAATTTATAACTTACTGAATAACATCTCTATGTATGAGACCAGGGTGATTTGGATTGAATAGTATAATACCCGTTAGCTTAAATAAATAACAAACATCATTAACAAGTAATTTTTAAATTTTATAATTATAATTATTACCAAATTCATAATAACCAGATCGGAGTCCCATTCACAATGAAATTTCCTTAAATAGCATTTTTGCAATTTATTTCTCTTCCGATTCGTCGCTTCCAACAGATCTAGTCTTACGATTATATTCTCGTTATTCTGTAAACAATTGTTATTTACAATTATATACAACATTTAAAGCCTCATAACATTTATAATGACATCACTTACAAATGGTATTGTCCAGCAATTGTGCTCAACGTTATAAAACTTCATTAATTGCATGTATATAATGGGAATGGAGTTGTTTTTCATCAAGGCCATCTTATCGACTTCGCAAATGTTGTTAAAAAATGTCAATTTTCTGCTCAAATGAACCACTTTTGGTATGCATTCCTCCACTTTTGAGCTCCACATTTGGATTATGTCTTTGAAGTCAAACACTTCACTCGTGGGACCCGTGTATAGAGTATTGTCGCAGAGCTCTTGACTGGCATTCAATAGTTCAGTGAATTTAATGCCTTCTAATTCATTGAAATTATTTCTGTAATCAGTAATCGGTCTTAAGATGGATGTAATCGTGTGATCGGATTCCTGTCTCTTTGGCTTTAAAACATGAGATAACACTTCATTTGTAGTGTAATTATTGCCGAATTCAATGACAGCCATTGAATTGTAATTAACAATAGGTATTAGCGACTGTTTATCGCCGGTTATGTCAATAATATTTTCATTTTTATATAAATATTTCTGCAGAAAGTGTTCCTCTAAACGAAGCGATTTCTGATTTAAATAGAAATTAAAATAAATTTAGTTATTATTGTAGTAAAAGTATGACATAATCTGTTTGTAGGCTTACTTTTCTCATTCCCAGTGAATAACACTTATTTAGTCTACATTTTTGGCAAAATTTGCGGCAAATCGTATTCATTGTACAATTCTCATTGAATCTGCACTTAAATTCCTATAAATAGCAATTAATTATATTTAATAGTAAATAATATTGGATTCTTAATTGTTATAAACAAATACTAACTGATATTTTGCCGGCATATCGTCGGAAAAATGTTTTACAAGAGAGACAAGTCATCACTGAATAATTTTTACCTACAAATAGTGTATAAAAGCATAATTATTTTTCATTATGGTAATTATTAATAATATTTATAAAGAATAGTATTTGTTTAATGACTGCCAGCATTATATCTAAATTTAAATGAGTTATTAATTTATAAAATATACATTAAATTTAAAAGTGAAAGGTCTGCTCACCGCAGGCTTTATCGCCACAAACCACACAAATATCAATACAATTAATTTCATTCATTTTGAGCCACAGAAACACTGCTATCAATGAATTGATCAATAAATATGTGAACAAATGTTATAATTATAAGTGATTGCAATTCATATTACAGATACGATTAGCGAGAGACAAGAATTTATAACTTGTATAACAATACGTAATCCATGTATTCATAAATTACACCATTTTATTACTGAATTCATTCACAGAAAAGTCTATGTATTTATACAACTGTGGGATATATTGATCTCATAAATTTAGTATTGGCAATAGTGTGACAAACTTTTGTTGTGAAATAATTATTATAATATACTGTATGACAATAATTAGTTTATTTATAATGGATATTAATAATTTGTTTAGAATAGTTTTGAATTAAGTTTATTTATAAATTAATTGTCAATTTTTTGCGAATTATTTCAAAAATACAAACCCGTAACATTACACGTATAACCGTGTTTTATTATAAAGGTTAATATTCCGTACACATGAACTGAGGTGCAAATATTTCCCCATTCAAAACAAGTGCATATAATACACTTTATAGTACCCTGTAATTTAATCACCATGAATCATGGTCCATGATAATTTATTTATGCAACTTTATTATTGTAAAAATGTTTGAATGAAATATTATTAATTATTAATGTAATAATAATTGTTATTATAAGTCGTTTATAAGTCATAGATCTCATGGAAAAGTGGACCAAAAAACATTTTTGAATTTTTATAAATATCATTTGATATACATTTACGCAAACTTCTCAATGCGTGAAAACATTTTAGCAATTTTGTTAGACTTTGTTTGGCTTCGCTTATGGATTGATATTTTAATTGCAAATACCGTTGCAATAGATATACGTAAACCAATTGTTGAAATCTAATTGTAATTAAATTAAAAACACAATTAATACTAAATATAACAAAAACACACAAAAGATTTAATACTTACTTAATTATGTCTTTATGTTTTAAATTTGGACGATTAGGGTTGAAAAGTGTTATTGCTGTTATCTAGTTATAAATTGTGTTTAACTTAATATGATAAATATCAATTTATATAACAACAAGTAATTACCAAATCCATAATAATAGGATCGCAATCCCATTCAGGATTAAATACTGTTAGAAAATCATCAAACGATTGATAGATCTGTGGCTTAACTTCTTGTATGAGATGCATCTTAATAAGGGTTGTGTTTCCGCTTTCCTAATAATACAAATCAATAAATAATTTCAATTATATTTTACAAAATTTTATATCAATTATCAGAATGTTTTAGACTATATTTATTGAGAGACTAACCGATATAATAGACACCTTTCGGTGGTTTAAATCATAGGCCGACGCCTGTCTGATACAACTCATTTCAAGGCACCCGTACTTTATTAAAGCCAACTGGTCTTCGGCGCACATATCACCAAAATGTCTCAACTTTTTGGACATTTTAATTATATTATATGTGGTTTGTTCCCAATCATTGGCTATTAATTTGATGGCCTCAGTCTGTCGGCTCTCTTCAGTCCATTTGATTTCATTATTTTTGAAAACAGTCGACGCGTTCAACAGTTCACACAATTTCATGCCTTCAATCTCATTGAATGTGTTGTTGTAATCGGTTATCGGTCTTAAGATTGACATTGTTTTGCCTTCAAAGTGACCATAATTACACTCATCTGTCTCTTTGAATTCAAATATGTTATCCAAATCTAATAACTCATAACCTGTCGTCTTGTCGTTATAATCACTTTTGTTTAATTGGTCCGAAAGGCCAGTTGTGTCAACAGTAGTACTATTTTTATCGCATTTATTTTCATCTGATTTTTGTGCCGATAGTATTAGCTTTAGTTTACGAATGCATTCCTGAGTTAACATAAAATTTAATTAATAAATAGACATTTATTGAAATTTTTAAATAAAACACAGAATCGACGCATACTTTCTTCATACCGACGGCGAAGCACTTCTTTAATCGACAGAATTTACAGCATTTTCTCGTTTCAGAATTTATGTCACAATTGCCATTAAAATAACATTGAAATTGCTATAATAATTAATGATGGTGTTTTGTAAAAAATATGGTAAATTATATTTTATTTAATACAAATCTCACGTTAGACTTGAGAGCGTTTCGCCTGAAAAATGATTTGCACGAAACACATGACCAAACTTTGTAATTCTGGCCTATAATTCATACACAATTAACTTATTTTAGTTTAATATAAATTTGAACATAGTTAATTGTCTTTATTTATTATGAGATACATATGAGATGTAGTATTAATTACAATAACAATAGCATACCGGAGGCAATATCATCACAAACGGCACACCTCTTGTTGTCCGTGGTTTTTGTTGACATGTTTTAAATATTATTTTAATAGTTGTTTTATATAATTTATAAATGCTTAAATTATCGTATTTTATTAAGGTATAATAATATGTATGTTTATTTAATAGAATAATCACTAATTTATTAAAATACAATAAATTAAACCAATATTACTTAATCTACCACGAGTATTATTAGTGTATAAATAAGCGATTATATTTACTTATTAACAATTTACAATTATTTATAATATTTACATTAATAAACTCTATGACTTGGTTTTTGATAAAGGTCATTTTATTGTCAATTGCCACATCGTGCCACATAAAATACAGCACCATGATAGCACCATGATTACTATAGCAATTATAAATTTCTCTATGAGTAGGTCTCCAATTGATTATATTAGAAAGTAAAGATTAGATTAAATTATTACTAAATTAAAAATAACTATAATTTATTAATTGTTAGCATATTAATTTTATTAATATTATAATTTTATTCAAAATGTTATCACATATTAAAGCTAATGGCAAAACTTATAAAACAAGTTTTCATAAAATTAAGATAATTTAATGATTTATATGACATTTATTTATATCGATAGCTTGAGAGCCTTAATAATAATTTGTAAATATAATTGTATTATTAATTTATTTAAATCAATAAAATTAAACCACAATTCATTAAATACAAAACATAGCCCTTAACTATGGTATTGATCGTCACTACTATTGACTATTGTGTCACTTATTTGTGTTCAAACTTTGAACACAAAAACTTTAACAAAAAATTTATTTATTTTTGAACGCGATTTACAATCAGTCCGTTTGTATTGTATTCACGGTATGTATTGTTTGTTATATAAAAACAGTCAAAAAGTCGTTAAGTATTTAAATCAATACATTTTTGAAAAGTAATTTAAAAATTGAAGTGAAAAACAAAGACACGAAGAGATGAGTTCCGGAAGAAGACATGTCATGTGTGATGACATTTTGGGCCTTATATTCAAGCGATTGGATATCAAAGACGTGTTTGCATTACAACGAGTGTCGGAACAGTTCAGCCGTTGTTCACAACAAGTACTGAAGAGTAAGAGAGGAGTGAGCATTGGCTTCAATGGCGCCGAGAAGTGGACAAAGCAGTGGTCAAAGACACGGTGTAGGTTTCGTTTCTCCGCCAATCACTGGAACCGCATAGACATCACACCAGCCATCGCTTCCCCGAGAGTTGTTCTCACATTAGATTACAACAGAAGACAGAATAGACTCGAGTCTATTGTCCGCCAATTCTGTGGCGTCGAAAAGTTATATCTGTCCACAACTGTAATCAGTTTCGCGATGATTGAGTTGTTTGTCAAGCAGTGGCCACAACTCGAAGAGCTCTACATCAATGACATCGAGATCGATGGGTTGAGTGATGGGCCGATTGGGACACAAGCGACCGATTGGGCGAAAGTGCTCTCAAATGTCAAACACATAAGCGTTCGTAAAATTGACCCAAAGATTGTCCCATTTCTCACTCGAGTGATCCAAGAGATGGAATCGTTTCGAAGTCTTGATGTGTGGGGTCTTTGGAGCAGTGAATCTGAGAAGACAATCACTCTCTCATTATTGAAGGATTGTTTGCCGGCAAACATGAGATCTCTTCACGTCGGCGTCACTCCAGCGGACAGTCAGGCTTTGGACGACATCACAGAGAAATGCCGACAATTACGGGAACTCTCTATTAAAGAAACGAAACTATTCCGAGAAGAGGAGGACATGAATATCTGGAACCAATGGTTCGCAATGGTCTGCAATCGTAACAAGAATTTACGATATTTTAAAGTCATTTTCATCGACATTTCCGCCAAAGAATTTGCCCGAAGTATTGCGAAACTCACACAATTGCGACGACTTGTGGTCAGTGGAAGCGGTCATTTCAGTCATCGAAACACTCAGAGAATGTGTTTCGACACTCAAGAGATGGCCCGATATATGCGGCCAATGGTGTCGTTGCGGTCGTTATCTCTGATTGGACTCAAATGTTCACCGAATCGGTGGTCAAATTTGGCCCAAATGTTGCCGAATGTGCGAGAAATGAGTCTAAGATCTATGGATTACTACACCGATTGTGAACACGGATCCAATTGTTATGACTGTTTCCACGGGTGTATGGAATTGGTGTCCAAACTGCCAAAACTGAAGCGTTTGCTCATTGTTTTTGGAGGCATTCAAAGGCAGACATTGGATTTGTTTGCGTCTATGGATGAGCTCAGCATTGCTGTGGGATATTATGCAAATGTGACGGAAGTACTCATTGGTTTTGTCACCCAAACACTGGCCAATAGACGTGGGTTTCGATTGCAGTTATTCCCTGAAGTCAAGAGACAACTGACCCAAAGGATGGCCGAAATGAATGTCTCAATACCTGAGAGTCTTATTGTGAGCCATATCTACAAAACGCAAGATAAAGACGAATGAATGCTTACCGGTGTCTCAAACCTTATTCTCCAGTCATTTCATTGATATTTAAAAAGTAAAATACTCTCAAAACTAAATTCTTTAAAAATAAAACGATTTTAGACTTAAATGTTATGCAATACTTGCGATAAAAGCAACTAAAATTGTAATTTAAATGATTCTGTATTTTAATTAATTTAAAAACTAATAAAATAAAAGAAAAATTCTATAAATGTGTTTATAAAACTTTTTGTTTGTGAATTGTGTCACATGTTTATACAGAAATAGACGTTTTACTTACAATTAAATTACAAATTATAAACTTAATATTAGTGCAGATAATACATGACATTTGGTGATCAATTCATATCATAAACCTCCTGAACAATAGGGTTCACGTCATGTATGGGCAATATCTTGCCATCACTGATGTCTTGGACAAGAAATCGGCTAAATTTGCCGATTGTTTCTTTAAAGTTGTCCAACAATTGTAATAATGTGTGAAATATAGTGTTTGACATCTCTATTGATCGGTATTTTAATTGTAAATACCTTTGAAGTAAATATAGATATATTTGTTGTTGAAATCTATTCAAAATATATAATAAAACATAATTTAAAATAAAAACCAAACATTAAATCAATAATTACTTAATAACTGATCCGTTGACTAAATCAGGTCGTGTTGGGTCAAAAAGTAAGATCGCGGTAATCTGTAATTATGTATAAAACTTAATATTTAATACTACATTAGCTAAATATGTTAGTCAATCATATTACCAAATCAACAATTATTACATCATGATCTAAAACGGGAATTATTTTTGCCATAAATCTCTTATTCCAGTTATAGGAATAATTGCGATATGACTTCATTAAATCTAGTTTTATAATTGCTGTATAACTGTTACTCTATATAACAATCGTGTAAAATAATTAAACATAATTAAAATAATTAATGTTAATTAGTTTACCGTAGTAGTTGTCCAGTATAGGTGATCTAGATTAAAATTCAATACCCATCGCATGTGACAGATCTCTGGTATGGCATACTTGACGAGAGAGATGCGATCGTTTTCGCACAACTCCTCAAACTGTGGCAAACATTTAGACATTTTGATCAGTTTTTGTAACTCATTCTCAAACATTAGCGCCCATTCCCTATACATTCCCGGCCTGTCCTTCACTTCAACACAAATTTGTGGACAAAAGTTGTCTTTCAAAATACGGGAAGCGCTCAACAATTCCGACAACTTGTTTGCCTCCATTTCGTTGAGTGGATTGTTGTGGTCACCGATCGGACGGATAATGGGAATCATTGATATGTCATTATTTGCCACAAACATTGTCAATGACTTATTAGTTTTACACATATCTATGTTATTTTTGTAGCTATAGTTGTCAACTATCCACATGTCTTCTTGTGATTTATCATCAGTTGTTTTCTTGTCTATTGATTTGTTTTTGCCATTTCTGAGCGCTTTCTTAACAACTTCTAAACAGTCCTTTAAAATGCAAAATAACTTTATTTTTATATTTTTGTTGGAATAAAATGATTACGATTTTCATTCCGACGACAAAGCACTTGTTTAGTCGACATTTGGGACAATATTTGCGATTTGTTGGCGAATTGATAACACAATTGTTGTCATTATAGCAAACTATCTAATTATATGAAAGGTTTGCTATTATTAATAGGTTTTATTTAAATTATGATATCTATTATTATTGATTACATCAATTTTTAGTGCATTTCTCCTAAAAAATGTTTTACACGACACACACGAAAGCACTGTATAGTTATTACCTATTTGTAAATACAATATATTAGTTAATTTATTTTAAATATAAATAAAATATAAAACATATTGGTATTTTGATGTTTGTGATATAATAATTTTGATCTAAAATAAACTCACCCCGGGCTTCATCGCCACATATTAAACATTTGTCTCCGAACTCGTTATCCATATATTATAAATACAATCAATAAATTTGCAAAACAATATAAATCTATTTTAAATTATGATTCTTAAACCAAATCTAACATCATTTAAAACAACTGTTATATTGTTTCTAATGACAACATTGATAAATATTAGCTCATTGTTCATTGTATTTGATGAGAATCAGTTCATAGGCTGATTGTCGTTACTATGGTAGATTTTTGTAATTTACATTATATATTAACTTAATATAAAATTTAATTTTCAATTAAATCTCAACACAAAAGGCATTAAAAATATATTTATTGATTTTGTTTTATATTAACATTTACAATTAACAATAATATCATAAAGTCTAGAACAAAGAGTTTATATTAATATTGATATAAACATCAAAACTAATTATAAGTATTGATGTAATCAATTGGTTGAGTGGTCTTCAGCGGCAAATGAAACAGTTGTGGCCGCGTATTGGCCGCGTGTGTCTCGTGATAATCCATGTCTGAGTACTGTTTGTCTCCACTTCTTCCTCACAATCGCCACAACCTCTCCATTGAAGAAACAAAACACGAGAGAAACCGATAGACCCTGAAGTGATGTGACGATTGCCGACACTATTTCATAAACCTTTTCAGCGGTGGTTCTCGTCTCGGGTCGAAATGGGGTTAATATAAACTGCAGACCTAATAATGGGATCAATATTATAGTCTTCCAAATCGCTTTCCTGGTATGTATTGTGACCGATGTATTGTCTGCTCTTAGCTTTCTTACCAAAACTCTCACTACGTTTATTAAAATGAAAAAATTACATAATAGAGAGAAACTCATCGGACCCGTCAATAGTTGATTATAAGTGCCATCTTCTACCCAACAATAACGGGTATCTATCGGGTCACTGGATCTGTGTCTGAGGAGAGTATATATAATAATGAGAGGGATGGGAACACACCATCCAATCATACAAAACCAGTTGAGCAGTTTCTTATCGGTCACAAACGACACGACCAGCAGATTGTGAAGATATAGTACTTCACAAAACATCCAAAAATAGTTACACACCATAAAGTAGTGAACGACGACGTAAATGGCTTGACACCAAATCGGATTAGATTTTAAGACATTAGGTTCGGATACAACATATATATAGTATATAATCCAAACAAAGTTATCATTCATAAAACTGATGAATAAGTTTTTGTGAATTCTTACACGCGTTTGCGATGACAGGGACTTAAATGAGCAAAATATGGTAAAAGATATAATGAGTGCACCTAATGATATCGAGGAACCGGTTATGAAAATATTATTAACCGATTGGTAAAATTCAATATAATCCCAATCAACACAATCGGTATAATTAGACCACGTTTTATTAATCTGATAATGTTTATACCATTCGCCGTTTTCCATACATGTCTTACGAACTTTTCTGTTGGGTTCAAAACCATTGATAAATTCTGGACATCCGATGACAGCCACCCGACCGGCCAGTGTATCGTTAAAACAACTCCAGCCGTCAAAAGTTCGCGGACAATATAATAGGTCCGGATTGTTAAGTTTGGGGCCGACGAGCACTCTATCGATACAATCGTCAAAAGCGTTGGCCGTATTCACATCACTATAGGGCGAGGGATTGTGTTTAACAATTACCTCAAGTAAGTCAATCAATTGGGTGCCATTCAAAGTTTGAATATTTGCATCAAAATGGCATTCACTATAATCGCCCACATATTTGCCGTTATTGTACTGCCACTGTCCGTCTGACCGACACTTTCTGGTGGCGTTTTTGAGCGGTTTAGAGCCGGGAATATAGTGGGGACAGCCTATGGTTACAATAGTGTGGGGAAGTGTGGCGTTCCAGCACCCGATGCCATCAAAATTTGATGAACAATATGATAAATTTTGGTGCCATCCCCTCGGCGTGGAAATTGCAGTTTGAGTGCAATTAATAAATGCTCGAAAATATAGAGATGGAGGGACACTGTATTTGCACTTCACTTCATTACACATTATTATAATTGTTGTGATTATTATCACATTAATAAAAGATGAAAATTGTAACAAAAAGTTGTTTTTAATAATTAATTCATTCATTTTCATTATGCATAGAAAACCCTTTCACTGATAGTTCACTAAATTGTCTGAAATACAGTATAATAAGTGATTGTTAAAATGTTTGCATCCTTTACTTCACATCAAATTAATTTTAATATTACTCTGTTTTGGAGACAAATTCACTGGAGAATCACTTAATTCTTAGCGTTTAGCCAAAAGGTGTCTGATTTCCAGAAGTGGTGTCTCAATACATATACATAGAAAAAATTGATGCAAAGAATTGATTATTGAAAATAACGAATCAATTGTAAGCAATTGTATGGTATGTGGCCTTCATTTACAAAATTTGTTAAACAAGTTTATCAAATTCTCAACAAATTTTACATAATTGTTATTCATTGGCGAAATTTCAGTAAAATATTACAAAATACTTATAAAAATTGGTACTTATTATAAAAAAATATTTTTCATTAACATTAGATCTAAATCATTAAAGCAAACTTTCTTAAATTTAATATAAGATAATTCACATAAAAATATTACAATTTTTAATTAAATCTCAACAACAATATAATGTATTTAAAATAACAGTCCAAACAATTACTGAATGTCATAGATCTCCCGGAGTAAAGGACCCAAATGTTTAGGCTTTGCATCTCTGAAATTGTAAACCACTTTCTGAGACAGAATCCGCAGGTTTTGCAAACAACTCATTAAACACGAAAATTTTGTTTCCGACTCGTATTTGGATCCATATTTTATAAATAAATAGCGTTTAAGTAAATGCGTGTAAATATACTGATGTAATCTATTGACCAATATTAATTTGTAAAATAATAATCATATTTTTAAATAATTAATATAAATTTTATATTATAAAAGATACCTGATAACATCTCTGTATATGAGTCCCTGGCGGTTGGGATTAAACAGAATGATTGCTGTTAACTATAAGTTATATATTAATAATTTAAACGTATATTTTCACTGATATATAACTACAAACCAAATCCATGATAATATCGTCTGAATTCCATTCGGGTATAATTTGTTTCAAAAACTTTTCGTGCCATTCATAAACATTACGATTGCATTTCTTAAGTAATGCAAATTTAAATATGGTTGAAATCTCTTTATTCTGGATTTAAAATCATTATTAAAATCAACCTCTATTCATAGAATTTAAAACATTTGCATACCGTATACACAGTCCAGTACATTTGGTCTAGGTTAAAATACTCAATTAGTCTCATGTAATGTAATTCAGTGGTGCTGTACTTAATGAGAGACAGTCTGTCATTTTCCACTATACTGTTGAAAGCGTTCAAACATTTAAACATTTGGACACAATTGTTGACTTCTCTCTCAAGTTTGGGCGCCCAGAGGTATGATTCCTCCCATATGTCGGTCGCCTCCACCGTAACCCTCATTGAAATGCTGTCTTTCAACAGTTTTGTCGCATTCAACAACTCTTTTATCCTAATGTTTTCCCTTTCGTTCAGATGACTACTATTGTAGTCACATATGGCTCGCGGAATGACAGACATTATCATCTCATGGCTGCTATTACTGTCATCGACAGCATAAGAGTCGTTCCCATCAATCATTATATTATCATTTATTTCTGTAAATATTCTCATTATATCGTTGTTTATCACAAACGATGGTTTTGTCGGTGTTATCATTGAATCTTTATTCATATTAACCATTGGCTCTAAATTTAATAAATTCTCGGTATTTGTTGTAATGGTTTTATGTTTTGTTTTATTCCTCGCCATCTCTTCGATGTATTCCTATAATAATTATTCGTTTTATAATTATTTTATTTATTTTTATAATTATTTAAACTCTAAAACATTTTTATACTTTTTTCATCCCATATTCGAGACACTTATTTAGTCGACATTTCTTACAGAATCGTCGGTTTATCGGCGAATCTATTATGCATTTTACACCCAAATAGCACTTCAACTATAATTTTGAACACAATTTTTAATGTTATTTATTAATAATATGAATACTGTTTCGTATAATTACATTGTTTTTTAATGCATTTCGACTGAAAAATGTTTTGCATGAAACACACGATAGGACTCCATAATTATATCCTGGAAATTGAATTTAACAATAATAATAACATTAAATCATAATTTATTAAATATATAATCTTGATAAAGATTTAATACAAGCATATGTGTAAATATTAAAATTCTTACCCCGAGACTTATCGCCGCAAATGAGGCATTTATTAGTAATGTTTTTATCCACCATTTATAAGGAATTAATTAAAATTTTAACGATTACTTCGTAAATTATTTGGGAACTTAAAAATTTAATTTTTAGTGCAAGTTCTGATAAACATACATTATGATAAAAAATTTAAACTTATAGATAATATAGTCAAATGATTAAATAGTAATTATTTATCTCTTTTATTACCATGAAGTATTAATTGATACAATTTCAAAATAGTTACAGATAAAATATTGTTAATTATAAGTTTTCTAATATAAATTAATAATTTAACATGACGATACTTTTAGTTTCATTGTATTTTAATTGACATAATAATGTGTTTTTATTGATTTTACTTACTTGTATTTAAATTATGGTATATCATAGCTATTTTAACTTACATTGAATAGTGACATAAAAATTAAACAATAATTTAAATAGATTTCGTCCATGTGCCATTCAATTAAAAAATGTTTGCTTTAAAACATTTTAACAATTATGGCAAATTAAAAATATAAAACCATAGTATTATTCTTAAAAATTACATACAAAACCAAACACACTATAATGTGACATTAAGAATATAACTCGTTGAGTAATTCACCACAGTCAACTACCTCGATAGCCTTATGTTCAGCAACTTGTTGCATTTGTTTGTTGTATAAAAAATTTAAATATTTAATTGTTTTCATAAGCCGTGAAAATTTGGTCAACGAATCGCAATCTGAACGATATCTCAATTGCAGATATCGTTTCAATAAATACATATAAACGCATTGATTAAATCTATTCATAATAAACAGTAAATCATTAATTAACTAGTTAATATTTAACCATCATTTAACACTCACTTAACAAGTTTCCGGTGCTGTAGGTTTGGTCGGCTCGGGTCGAACAGTATGATTGCAGTCATCTATAAAATTAACGCTATTTTAATTGTTTTAAATACAAACTAAATCTCAAGTTCTTTACTAAATCAATAATAATGTGATCGCAATCCCATTCACTGGCAAATTGTTGAAAATATTTAACACACGCCTCAAAGACATACAGTTTTGTGCATTTGATTGCATTCAAGTCCACGAGCACTGACTGCGACGGGTCCTCCTATTACGTACAAAATTACATTATTCAACCAATTATTGCATTGTGTGTGTGAAGAGGGGCTTACATCGGGAACCGTTAGTTGGTTGGTGTTGGGATCAAAGCCGGTGATATTTCGCAAATAAGTCACTTGAATAGATCCGTACTTCATAAGCGAGATCTGATCGTTAACACACAGCTCACTGAAGAGAGAGATATTTTTGGACATTTCAATGGATTTGATCACCATTTCCTCCACATTGCAACACAAGGCACTCATGGCGTCTATATAGGTGTCGGCCACAGACACCACCGATCCGTACGATATCTTCAGCGAGTTGGAAGCGCTCAACAGTTCCGTCAGTCGATTGCCTTCAATCGCGTTGAAGTTATTGTTGTAGTCAGTGATCGGTCTATTGATGGACACGATTGGTGTCACCGATTCACACACTTTTGCCGCAGTAGATGTCAAACAGGTCTCGATGTCCATCACTTGGGCCTCAATATCTTCGTCGCTAATGGTATTATTAAACAAGAATTGGTCCAAAATATCGCAATCACTGCCAGAAATATCTTGTGTTTCATCTGAGGAGGAATTGCATGACTTTTGGTCATTATTTTTATTGAGTTTTAAATCTAATTTTTTCCGTATTCTTCTCTCTTTCCGTAATTGCAGTTCTCTTTCGGGTAAAATTAAATCCTATTTATAATTGCAATTAAAATTAATTTCAATAACTGAACAAATTATTAATTCAATACTTCACAATATAATAAATACTTTACTTTTTTCATTCCGAGTGCAAAACATTTATTTAATCGACATTTTTGACAGAATTTTCGGGTTAAATAAGTGAGATCACAGTTTCCACTAAATGGACATTTTAATGCATTCTATAATTTATAATATAATGCTAATTAATAACACAATTATTAATAATCCTATTGTAATAACATTTACCCCGTCTTTCAATGCATTCCTCCTGAAGAAGGCCTTACATGAGGAACACGTTAAGACATTGAAATTATAACCTAGAGTAAAAATATAATAGGTTATTAACAAGGTCATAATTGGTATTGTATTGTCTTTGATAAGTTAGTGTTTAGTTATTGAATCAATAACAATCTTCAATAATATTGATATTAGTTGCTGATATTTTTTATTGCTAAAAGGTTAATTTATTTAGTGTTTTATCATTATAAATAAAAACTAACTTAATGTACTTAATATAAATTGAAATATACAATTATTTATAAATACTTACCAATAGCTTTATCATCGCAAATTACACATTTTCCGTCAAATAATTTCATTTTATTATTATTATAATAATTATAATATTGATTAATATTTTGTCAAACAAATTTTAAAATATTTAAAACCATTTATAGAATATATCAGTTTGTAAATGTTTGTTACAATAAAACTTTAATAATACATAGAAAATAATTTTCAATATCACAATTAGATTAACAATTAATATTAGCAATTAAATAATTGTACACAACTTAACATAATTGTACAATGAAATGCACATTTCAATTATATTCTGGTATTGAACACTGTATACGCTCGTCGTTAGCAATACTTATAGTAAACTAACAAATATTTCTCAATATAATCAAGAATTGTATGTAAATTGTCGAGAGTTTGCGCGCTTCAAAGTGTGCACTGTTTTGCACCGAACAGGCATTGAACAGGTTTGCCGTGATTTTGCTGTCGCCCACATTTACGTCACTTTAAGGTATATGTAATTTACTTTTACTTCTAATTTTATATTATTCAAGAAACTTGATTATTCCCGCTATAATTATTTAAGTTCAGAATTTGTTTTAGTAGTTTTTAGTAGTATTTCTCACAAGTCAGTTAATGTTTTAATATCCCAATGGAATAATTTAGCCCAATGTATGTTACTGGCAACTTTAAATAACAGCAAAAAATTAACTATATATTTACAATGATTTGATAAGTCAATTAAAAAATATTAATTATATTTGTTATTTATATTTGTATAAATAATTTTGTATATTTATAATAAATTTATAGTTTATTATATTTGCAAAAAATTATAACAATGTAAAATTTAGTGAGTATTTGTTAACTGTAAGCCCAATACCTCCCGGAGTAAAGGGCCGAGTATTAGCGGCTCCGTACGGACCCCATTAGCCCACACCAAATGACCCAATATATCAATGTATGGCATAGTATTCATCAAACTTATATACTTCGTGTCCGCCTCCTCTTCCGACCGATACTTCAATAGGAAATAGCGTTTAAGTAAATAAATGTACGATTTTTGATGAAATCTATGTAAAATTGTTTGTAAATTATAATTATTTTAAAATTAAAACAATCATTTAAATAAATAAAATGATATACAGTAATTTAATTAATAATTATAAATGCTTACATAATAGTTTGTTTATGAGTGAGATTCGGACGATTAGGGTTGAATAGTAAGATTGCTGTCAACTAAAAATAAATTAAATGTTAACTTAACAATTAAAAATGTTCTAAATTTAAAATAATTTACCAGATCTAATAAAATCACATCGTTATCCAATTGTGGTAGAAATTTGTCAAAAAATGTTTCAAAGACATCATATATATTACTCTTTGATCCCTTAAACACATCCAACGGTAAGAAAATGGAGTGATTGTTATCCTTAAAAAATAATATTCAACATAGGTTTAGAAATATAGTTTTTTTTTAAATGGGAACCAATCTATAATTGTGGAAACAAACCAGATTAAAAGTCCAGCTCCGGGTGTTTGCATCATATAGTAAAACACTACGGACGCTAAGTATATCACTGGCCCCGTATTTGACCAAGGCAATTTGGTCATCAATACACAACTCGTTGAATGCACGCAAACATTTGACCCCTTGTGACATACTTTCAATCTCTTTTGTAAACTTCTTGGTCAACACTGGCCTGCATTCAGTCATGTTATGGATCCGCGCGGGAGTTGTGGCCATCGATTCCCGCTTAGAATTGATGGCGAAGAGTATTTCCGTCAATAGATTGCCCTCTATTTCATTGAAATTGTTCCGATAGTCAGTCAATGGTCTTCTGATGGCTACAACCGAAGTGTTGCTGTTTTCAGTAAATAAATCATTGGTTTTACTGTCGTTATTATTAGTTAATAATGTATTAATTTCTTCGATCTCTGATTGAATCTCATTGTCTGTAAAACTATTATCGCTAACAATTGCGGCCATAAAGTCATCATCAGTTGTCTTATTGCTGAAATCACTGCAATTATCAATTGCTGAATCTTTTGAATCGCTTCCGAGTTTTAACCGCTTTTCTCTATATTTAGTCTGAATTTTCTGTCGTTTGTCTTCAGATAGAAACGAGTCCTAAATGTGTTTAATTAAAAATAAATTATTAATTAATGAAAACAGCAATTTATACAAAAACAATACAAATGACACACAGTTTTCATTCCGACAGCAAAACACTTCTTAAGCCGACAGCTCTGACAGAATCTTCGGGTCTTTAAACTGACGACACAATTGCCACCAAAACTACATTTACTTTCCTATTAAACAAATTAATTGATAATTAAAATATTACTGAATTATTAGATGAAATATTACGGTAACTGTTTGGCCATTTCTACGGAAGAATATTTTACACGAACAGCAAGTAATGGCACCGAAATTGTTATCTAAATAATATGGTAAAAATTATAAATTAATTTGCATTCAAATCATTTGTATTGCGGCTAAAGATGACTCACTGGCGGCCAAATCGCCGCAAACGCTGCAAACTTTGTCAAACTTTCTACTGTAAGGCATTTGTGATGATATGATAAACAATTTATAAATAATATAAATAAAATCAATGCTAAAACAAATTCAAACTAAATTAGATAATCTATGTTTAACTCATTGTGGTGAATATTGTGAACAGGGTAAAATGGCGAATGGTGTACAGTTAAAACAATTAACAAATAAATCACACGAATTTTGTACTGAATTTGTAATCATAATATGATTTATAATTATATTTATTAAGTACTTAGTTCTCCGTCAATAGCTTCAAGGCTGTGATCGTTGAGCTGTTAATTATGTTTTATTTCCTTTTGATTAAATCGTGAATTGAATACAAATTATATAAATATTTTGCAATTTGTGTATAAATTGATAACTTTTTATTTATTTAAAGAAATGTTATTTTAAGCGCAATTCGTATTCAATAAGAAAATGTTTTAACATTAAGACATTAAATGAAATTAAGTTATAAATAAATATAATAAACTCATTAAACAAAATATAATTTAAACTTTAAGCACAGAATTTCTTTGACCATTTATTTCATTCATGTCTTTGCGTTTGATTTTTTCAACACTTTATTGGATTCTTTGAATACTTTCAAAGAAATGCTTGAATTTATAAATTGTATTCAATTGAATTGATGGTTAGATTTGATTTATTGATTCAAATTGTGTCCACTTTTAGTTATTATTGAATGCACTGTCAATAACTGTTTAGTTAAATATGTTTTTAATAGTATTAAAAATACAATAAAATAAATATCTAATTATATTTTGTTTTAATTGAGATTTTATTGAAAATTTCTTAATTTCTTAAATAACTTGTGTTTAAAGTAATATATGTTTCTCTAAATATGACTGCAAATGATTGAAGAGGTCTTTGAAACACAGATAATATGTCAGTTGAGCATCGCTTGCATACTGAACTCGTGGCTCACAATCACACACTCAGGCATCGAGACATTCATTTCTTCCATCCTTTGGATCAGTTGTGTCTTGACTTTAGGCAACAAATCCAATCGGAATACTCGCCGTCGATTGGCCAGTGTTTCGGTCAAGAAATGGATCAACACTTCGATTAGATTTGTGTACATCGAGACAATACTTAGCCGATCGACACGATTGAACACTTCCAGCATATGTCTTGTGATGGGACCAGTCTTACCATATCTTGTGATCACAGAAGCGATAGTAATGTGTTTCAATTGCGGCAGTTTTGAGACCAAATCCATGGACTGATGGAAACATAGATTACAGTCCTTTCCGTCCTTACAATCCGTGCGATAATACATGCGATTAAGTGTCAGTTTGCGGACATTTGGAAACATTTGGACGAAATTCAACCACCGTTTCGGTGAACACTTGAGTTCCCGCAAAGTTAGTGTCTTCAACGACACCATTGGCNATTACAGTCCTTTCCGTCCTTACAATCCGTGCGATAATACATGCGATTAAGTGTCAGTTTGCGGACATTTGGAAACATTTGGACGAAATTCAACCACCGTTTCGGTGAACACTTGAGTTCCCGCAAAGTTAGTGTCTTCAACGACACCATTGGCCCCATATGTCTGGCCATCTCTTGAGTATCGAAACACATTCTTTCGATCCATTCTTGTGAAAAGTCGTTGATTTCGAGGACTTTTAGATTTTCGAGTTTTACTATATTTTGGGCAAAATTCTTGGCGGAAATGTCTCCCAATCCAGTCCTCAATTCTATCAAACACTTGAGGCGATCGCAGATCAATGCAAACCACTGTTTCCAGAGATCTTTCTCTACAGTATCTAAGACCCCAAAAATGGTTAGTTTTCTTATTTGCCGACATTTACTTGTGATAACATCGATGGCCTGACTGTCCATTGATGTGACGCCAATACATAGGCATCGCATGTTTGTCGGCAAACAGTCTGTGAGTAGTGATAGTGTGATGTCTGGAACCGGTAATTTCAAACTCTCAACAGTGAGGCCATCCAATGAAGACGTCTTTGGCATAATTGTTGTCAAAAATGACGCACATTTTGAATCATTACTTCCGATGAATATGTGTTTGATTTTTGAGACGAGTTCTTCCCATTCGGTGATTGTGTGGTCATTGGAGTCAACGACTTCTGTGTCATGAATGCAGAGATTCTCGAGTTGTGTCCACTTCTTGACAATTAGCTGTAATGTCTTAAAACTGATTACAGTTGACGACAGAAATAAGTGCTTTACTCCACAGAATTGGCTGACAATTGACTCGAGTCTATCACCAGATGTCAAATCAATGCCTTTCAGTGATGTGTTGATTGCTTGTGTGATATCAATGCGATGCCAATCATTCACATCAAAACTCCTGTTCAATATTCTTGACTGTGAACTCGCCTTCAATTCATTGAATCCAATGCTCACTCTTTTCTTCGTCCGAAGCACTCCTTGTGAACAACGGCTGAACTGTTGTGACACTCGTTGTAATGCAAACACATCTTTGAGATCCAAATCCTCAATTTATTGAATCCAATGCTCACTCTTTTCTTCGTCCGAAGCACTCCTTGTGAACAACGGCTGAACTGTTGTGACACTCGTTGTAATGCAAACACATCTTTGAGATCCAAATCCTTGAATATGAGACACAAAATGTCATCATTCATGACATGTGTTTTCTGATCCATAATTTCTAATCCAATTCTTTGTCTCTCTTTTGTATTTTGTGTCAAATTTTGATTAACTCTTAAGAAATCTATTGATTGAGAATTTTGTAACGGATTTTATGATAAATATAATGAATTAGTTCTCATTTAATGAATAAAAATAGATATTTAAAAATTTAATTGTATTATACGTTCAGTAATTCAATTCAATTGCAATACTATTGTTAAGTATTGCGAGAATTAACACAAATAACAAATCAAACAAAATAACAATTATTTAACTTTTGTTTTATGTTTTTGTATTTCATTTTCATTGCAAAACAGGAATCGTTTGAAAGTATAAATTGAATGCAATTCTTAAGGATCTGCTCTTCATTTCCATCTGCGAAGACATCACTTCAATAGATGTCTAAACAGTTTTCACTCTTTTATATCACATCTAATGCTGTGATTAATAAACACTCAAATTGTGAACAAATTATAACAAAATTAATTAAAACTATTTATTTCGTTAATGAATACACTTTTGACACAAATTATGACTTTTCATAGAAATACTAATAAAACTATTTATAAATTATACAAAAAACACATTAAATAACAATTAAAACACTTTTTATATTAAATCTTTGGATCAAATGATTGAGTGAAGCGTTCGTTGAGTCCAATAATGGCATCACTTTTGGGATCAAAAACAACATTAAGAGTGAAAACAAAGACAAGAATTGATTGAATACTTGATTGAATCCAAGTGTGACATCAGTTTTGCGGCCATATCTGAGACATCGATTGTCTGTTCCTCTCGTTTAGCACTCATTTGAGTCAACAATAACTCAAACCTCTGTTTGAAAGACAATTCACTTTCGGCTGAAGTTGTGGTCAACTCTTCGACAGAAGCGCTCTTCACGTCAGTATCGCCTGAAGTGATGTCCAAATCGTCCCAAAACTCATCGCTCATGTCATCCATCAGAGAATTGTCACCCAATTTGGTCCCAACGATGGCTGACATCAGGTCTTCGACGCACTCTTTGATCATCTCATCAATGGTTTCATGACTTCTGTCTTCGCGTGAACTCAACTCTGAGTCGAGTTTACGCTTCAATACAACACTTGACTCAACCGTTCCCTCCATTGGACTCAACGCCAGACAATAGTCACCCAAAACTGATCCAAAGGTCAAGTCGTGAGTCATTCGTGACTCAGTTTCGAAGCGTTGAGTAGTTTTCTGTTCCTTTGGTTCGCGTTTTGAACAATACTTTGAATTAAAGTCAGTCTTCGTCTCAATGTTTGAACTCTTCGTGTCTTTTCGTCGATCACTTGACTCACGTCTGGAA